GCGTCGTGAAACTTCTCCTCCGTTGATGCGTTCAAGATGACCTCCACGCAGGACTTTATCGAGCCTTTGTATTCCGGCACGGTTTCATACTGATCGGAGAATCTCACTTTTTTCACGACATCCGGCGTTCTGTCCGACTTCTCGCAAATGACGTCCGATGCCGGCGATTCCAGAATCCCGCCCTCAGGTTCTGTCAGATTCATATCTACCATCTCATTTACAGTTATCTTTTCGGCTTCGTTATTCTCAGTCTCATCTTGTTCCTCCATGATGTTCAGCTTCCTGCCGGAATTACTTTTGGACAGCTGCTCGTCCTTGTCGGTTCTGAAGGGCGTATCCTCGTTCGAGATGCGGGAGAAACTGAAGAATTCAGTGACACCGCAGATATCGCTGTTCTGTGATCCAGGGGTATTGATCGACGAGGAGTTCATCTTGGGCGTCTTCAGGCTGAAATATGGCACATAGGATGTCTCGAAAGTGGCCTTCTGGCCGACGAGCATCGGCGTGCTGGTCTTTCGATAGATCTCGGGCGGCGTGCAAACCTCGTTGTCGCTCATAAAACACTGTTTCAGCTTTTGTTCGATACTTATCGGCGACAGCATATATTGAGACCACCACTTACACTTGCCTAAAGTTTACCCGGAGAAAAAAAGAATCAATATGTAATTAAATATAAATATATATAACTATATATAAAGAATCATATATAAATATATACAATGATTATATATAGACAATTCTTTTTCACTTTTTCTAAAAATAATTGTAAAATTAAGAGAGATGTAATTTTATTATTCACATAAATCTATACACGTGTGTTGTAAATTTATATTTTATATTTCTCAAAATTTTAAAAATTGTAATTTGATTAATTGTGTGATTTTTTAACAAACTATAAGCTTTAAAACAGAAAAAAATAGCATCATATATTTAAAAAATATTTTTTTTTTCTATTAGACTTTTCTATTTATTAGACTGTCATCGAGCATGCAATTTTTTGAAAATATTAAAATATGAAATTTTTATGAATTTCTTTTAATTGATTAATTTTTTTATATAACATGGGAGTTGAATGCATGTTCAAGCAAAAAGAAAAATACTCGCATCTACTTGCTGGTACAAAACTATTGTGTCAAAAATTTCAGTTCAAGACTTTTACAGACGACTATTTGCCGATTTTCACAGATTTCAAGATTAAATTTTTTAAATCTTGTTATAAGCTCGTTTTTCGCGAATTACCGAAGGACTTGAAATCTTCTTTGGATTCGTATAAATCACCGCACAGCTGGCAACGTAACGGCAAATGTCTTTCCACTATATGATTCAACAATTCCTCGTCCCTTAGATCCAATTTATCAAACTCGCCATGTCGTACCGGCAGTATCTCAGAAGCACACAGGCAACAGTTGGCGTTTAGGTCGGGATGCATCTTATCCACGTGGCGATCGCGACATTTTGTACAGCAGAACGTGTCCTTGCAGAAACGGCAAACCCTATCCGTCTGACAGATAAAAGAAGGAATATTTTGGAAATTGATATGGGATGATTCAATAAATACCTTGTCCTTCCACATATTTAGACGTGATCGCCTATTACCGTGACGTTCCGGTGTTTACTGTTTGATGTGACCAACCGTTTATCAATAATACCGCTCGTGCGATCATAACAATGTAAACGGACAAGTATATATACTTAAAAAAAAGTATATACACGTATAAAGTATACGTTTTAAATACATAAGAAAATACATATGTATAAGTCTATAAGTATACATTATAATTTTCACCGATTTACATGTATATATAATTAAGCAAATCAAATTCGGAAAAGTCTCATTAATAAATAATTAAATATTTAAGAATTAAGAGAAATTTTTTAAATTTTATTTAAGTTTAGATAAATTTTATTTTTTTTTTTTCACGTCATAAAAGAAATCCTAAAATGAAGAAAATTCATTTGATCGTAAAAATTGAAAATTTATATGTTTTTGATAGATGTTCGATTTTTAAAAATTAATAGAGAGTCGAGAATAAGGATTCATATTTTTTTAAACGAATTATATAAAAGTCCTTGTACATCTATTTAATGAATAATATGGTACAAAAGAATATATTTGTTTCATTTACTGCATTAAAGTATCGTCTATATTTGTAGCTTCCTCGGACATGTACAAGTTTTGTAACGCATTGATTGCTTCCTCTTCTTTATTCTCATCCTCTGCAGTTTCTGCAATTGTATTCAATTCAGTCCTTTTCTTTCTGCCATTTTCTTCTTCGATTGAACTTTCCTTGAACTTTGCTATCCATGACGCACTTTCGTTTTCAATCGCTAGATCGATGTCAGTCTCATTAAAATCGGTATCATGATCGAAAACAAGAGCGCTGCTTCCAGCTCCTCTATTTTCTAACAAAGATAACGCCTCAGCATAAGGCGGTGCTATCGGGGTTTGCACTGGCTCATGGTACTTGTATTTCTTTCCTCTGTACTGAGAACATTTTAAAATAATGATCGAATCAAGATATAACAAAATATATAAGCAAAATAAAAAAAATAAGATTGTTATTAGAGAAATCTATGATTTATATTTATATAAAAATATAATAATGTTACACTCACATCTAGTGGATAACTCATATCGGAATCAGGTTGACTAAGGTCTCCGCATACAACGAATGGAACAATGATCCTGTTGACTCCTGTCAACTCTTCAAAATTGCATGGCTCATGTGTCAGTAAAGGGTTTAGCATGTGCGGTTTATAGCCTTCTGGTGGAGAATAGTCTTTACAAACTACAAACGCCTCGATACTCGAATTGCGAGAACTACTGGGTTTTGTGCAATACACGTAAGGGAAAAATATCCTCAATTGAGCGTACAAGAGCGACACGTCCTTGGCACGAAAGATTTTTGCCACGAACGTTCCACCAGGTTTTAAGATGTGTGTAGTTATGTTCAGAGCAGCTAATAGAAGCTGTGATTGAATGAATATATCCATATCATGTAAGCCAGTCACTGGAATAAATAAAATTCATTAATCATTTCAGATAAATTAATTTAAATTTTACAAAAAAATGAAAAATGATGTGAGACACATACCATCAGGTGCTCCATCACATACTACCAGATCTGCTTGAGTGTTGTCAAAATGCGCAATAATCTGTTGTGCGGTATTGGTATTGGTAATGTCACCTTGTAGTTGAATAACTCCTTCCAAGGGTGCCATTGCCTGCAGATCGACTGCCACAATTTTTGGAGGAGGCGCATCGCCTTTTTCTAAAGCCTTCTTATAGTTCTCGCTATATCAAAAAGTAAATATATAATTATTTATAATTTTTACTTATATGTATATATTTAAGGAACATATTTGTATTACATCTTTTCCGAAATTTACTTACTTTAGCTTGCGAGCTAAGACCTGGCTCCAGCTTCCAGGTGCAGCACATAGATCCACCGCTTTGGATACTCCTGAAAGAGAATAAAAAGCAATGGTCTTGTTAACAATACAGATATTTTCTTTATTACTATATTCGTTCTAAAATAATTTTTCCTTTTTCTTTTTCATTTTTTGTATATTTTTTTTCTCAAGATGTATAATAAAATGTGTAATTGAAAAGGAAAGTAGGTTTCTTATACGAACCATCGAAAATGTGACATTCGGTATCGATTTGGAGTAGCTTGAAAGCACTTCGGGCTCGCCATCCCTCTTCCTTTGCCTTTCTATAATATATATCGCGCTTATCCTTCGATGTTTTCCCCATCGTTCTGATGATATTTCGATAGAGATCAAGATTTTTGCTGTTTGCCTAAATAGCTGTTTGACAATTAATTATTACAGGTTATGTTTCGCAGGTTATTCCAGCTGATTTCAACAAATGACGACAGACAACAGCCTATAAATACGGTTTAAATCTTTACTAAGTGGTTTAAATCTCTGCTAAATAAGGTTCGAATCTTCGCTAAGTGGGTTTGAATCTCTGCTTCTTCCTCTTCGGTTTATTGCATTTGGTTTATGTTATATTAATTTTATTATTTTTAATACAGACGTTCATTAATAAAGTATTACAATAATATACAATAATAAATTGTAAATTAAATTAAATTTATTGTATGTGCGTCAATGATTTTATGTAATTTACATGTAATAAAGTATGTGCAGCTTTGAACAATATGTTAGAAATTCATAATTAGTAGTTTCTCGCCGTTCAATTATTTTACTTGGATTAATATGCCAATTTCTAATTGATATTTTTGTTATGGGCTCGTCGATTGTTGGTATTTGGCGTACATTTTATATAACAGATAACATGAAAACAAGTATAAAGATTTTTAATTAATTTAATTAAATTATAAAAGTCCTTGTACATCTATTTAATGAATAATATGGTACAAAAGAATATATTTGTTTCATTTACTGCATTAAAGTATCGTCTATATTTGTAGCTTCCTCGGACATGTACAAGTTTTGTAACGCATTGATTGCTTCCTCTTCTTTATTCTCATCCTCTGCAGTTTCTGCAATTGTATTCAATTCAGTCCTTTTCTTTCTGCCATTTTCTTCTTCGATTGAACTTTCCTTGAACTTTGCTATCCATGACGCACTTTCGTTTTCAATCGCTAGATCGATGTCAGTCTCATTAAAATCGGTATCATGATCGAAAACAAGAGCGCTGCTTCCAGCTCCTCTATTTTCTAACAAAGATAACGCCTCAGCATAAGGCGGTGCTATCGGGGTTTGCACTGGCTCATGGTACTTGTATTTCTTTCCTCTGTACTGAGAACATTTTAAAATAATGATCGAATCAAGATATAACAAAATATATAAGCAAAATAAAAAAAATAAGATTGTTATTAGAGAAATCTATGATTTATATTTATATAAAAATATAATAATGTTACACTCACATCTAGTGGATAACTCATATCGGAATCAGGTTGACTAAGGTCTCCGCATACAACGAATGGAACAATGATCCTGTTGACTCCTGTCAACTCTTCAAAATTGCATGGCTCATGTGTCAGTAAAGGGTTTAGCATGTGCGGTTTATAGCCTTCTGGTGGAGAATAGTCTTTACAAACTACAAACGCCTCGATACTCGAATTGCGAGAACTACTGGGTTTTGTGCAATACACGTAAGGGAAAAATATCCTCAATTGAGCGTACAAGAGCGACACGTCCTTGGCACGAAAGATTTTTGCCACGAACGTTCCACCAGGTTTTAAGATGTGTGTAGTTATGTTCAGAGCAGCTAATAGAAGCTGTGATTGAATGAATATATCCATATCATGTAAGCCAGTCACTGGAATAAATAAAATTCATTAATCATTTCAGATAAATTAATTTAAATTTTACAAAAAAATGAAAAATGATGTGAGACACATACCATCAGGTGCTCCATCACATACTACCAGATCTGCTTGAGTGTTGTCAAAATGCGCAATAATCTGTTGTGCGGTATTGGTATTGGTAATGTCACCTTGTAGTTGAATAACTCCTTCCAAGGGTGCCATTGCCTGCAGATCGACTGCCACAATTTTTGGAGGAGACGCATCGCCTTTTTCTAAAGCCTTCTTATAGTTCTCGCTATATCAAAAAGTAAATATATAATTATTTATAATTTTTACTTATATGTATATATTTAAGGAACATATTTGTATTACATCTTTTCCGAAATTTACTTACTTTAGCTTGCGAGCTAAGACCTGGCTCCAGCTTCCAGGTGCAGCACATAGATCCACCGCTTTGGATACTCCTGAAAGAGAATAAAAAGCAATGGTCTTGTTAACAATACAGATATTTTCTTTATTACTATATTCGTTCTAAAATAATTTTTCCTTTTTCTTTTTCATTTTTTGTATATTTTTTTTCTCAAGATGTATAATAAAATGTGTAATTGAAAAGGAAAGTAGGTTTCTTATACGAACCATCGAAAATGTGACATTCGGTATCGATTTGGAGTAGCTTGAAAGCACTTCGGGCTCGCCATCCCTCTTCCTTTGCCTTTCTATAATATATATCGCGCTTATCCTTCGATGTTTTCCCCATCGTTCTGATGATATTTCGATAGAGATCAAGATTTTTGCTGTTTGCCTAAATAGCTGTTTGACAATTAATTATTACAGGTTATGTTTCGCAGGTTATTCCAGCTGATTTCAACAAATGACGACAGACAACAGCCTATAAATACGGTTTAAATCTTTACTAAGTGGTTTAAATCTCTGCTAAATAAGGTTCGAATCTTCGCTAAGTGGGTTTGAATCTCTGCTTCTTCCTCTTCGGTTTATTGCATTTGGTTTATGTTATATTAATTTTATTATTTTTAATACAGACGTTCATTAATAAAGTATTACAATAATATACAATAATAAATTGTAAATTAAATTAAATTTATTGTATGTGCGTCAATGATTTTATGTAATTTACATGTAATAAAGTATGTGCAGCTTTGAACAATATGTTAGAAATTCATAATTAGTAGTTTCTCGCCGTTCAATTATTTTACTTGGATTAATATGCCAATTTCTAATTGATATTTTTGTTATGGGCTCGTCGATTGTTGGTATTTGGCGTACATTTTATATAACAGATAACATGAAAACAAGTATAAAGATTTTTAATTAATTTAATTAAATCTTTATCTTGGTTTGACGTCACAATAATTATTTATATAAATTCTTTTAATCTTATCGGAAATGTTTATAGATCAAACTAACAAACTCCCTATATCGAGTCATTATCAAGATTTGTAGATACTTAGTCTCAAAATATTCTATATTTATATCTATTCGTATTATAAACGTTAACATTTATATTTATGCTGTTTTACAATGCAATACATTTAAATTTTACGGTAATACTTTACAAAGATAAGTTCAAAATAGACTTAGAAAATTTTATAAATAGAAGAATAATTATCTTTTAACTGCAACGAATAGCTATGCATACAGGATATTGTATTGTTTACAAATAAAAAAATTTCTTGCTTTTGAGAATAAAGATCAAACTTCTTCGAAATAAAGCTTTTTAAAAAGACACAGTGCATATATTTATTTTATTAAATATTATAATGTGTCCGTTAAAAAATGATTATGTCTTTTATCATATTTTTTTTATAGATTAACTTCAAAACATTGTAATAGCTGCTCATCGCGCAACAGATTTACGTATGTATATAATTATTTCTATTTCTTTCTTATTATTTTTGACTAATTATATTTATATTTATTTAATTTTATATCTTGATATTTGTTAATAAAATTTTTTCTAAAAAAAATTTTTTTTGTCTTTTTTTATTTCTTATATTATTATATATATTGTTTTATTATTCTTGAATAGAATTCTTGAATAATTAAATATTACCAATATATTTTATTGCATATTATTATTTATCAAAAATTCTTTTTTTCTCGGGTAAATTAAATTTTTTCTTCCTTTCTTTTCTGTGCTTATGCTATTATCAATATTCCATCAGTTCCAACCAGCTTGGTGGTCGGAGCTCGACTTAAGCGGCCGTTCTTGTTGCAATCAGTCTAAACCTTTTCAAGAGAAGCCGAGGAGGAGATACCGTTGCCGATCTTTGTCGAATGGTCGCGCTTACATCGATATATATGCCGATTTCTTTCTCTCGTAATAGAATTTACATTTACTCCGAAACTGGAACTCGTTACGGCCACGATATCGCTACTCTTATTCTTGCTTATCGATCGCGCTATCAAATCTTGACAGTGATTGTTGCAAAATTAAATTGTTCGTGAACATTCTGAGAGTGTATATAGTTTTGCAATCTTTCAGATTATAAGTGAAAACCATTCTCCCCGCGAACCAGTGCTCCGAAAGATTTTGGCAATTATCTGTTTGAATCCGCGTATTGTCGTCTCTGTGATGCTGTGACTTGCGTTTGTGATAACCCCCGTTTGTGATAACAATAGAATTATTATTCTATAAGAAACTCTTTGTGATATGTATTTTAATAGATTCTTCAAAATTCAGAGACGAATTTTACGTGAGTATTTTGTGTTCATTCAAGAACTACAAAAGCAAAATAAATATCTTTGTGTCGCATATAAATATTATTTATTATAATTCCATGATACATTTTAAAACTCAAACTCATCCATCACATTTTAATTATTTTGCATTTATCATATATTTATTAATAACCTTATATTTTTTACGTTTTTCATAAAAATGTAATTATTTCGTTTTTGATTATATTATTTTTAAATCGGTTAGAGTTATATATATGAGATACGAATATAGATTATATTGACATATATAGTTTGGCTGCAATGATAAAAAACCGATTAAAACCTTGCAAAAAAACAATGACGTCATTTTTTGATAATTGGAAGATTATTATATCGCAACTTGGCTCGTTTGTTATCGCGAGTAATGTTTTCAGTAACGTATAGTAAGTGCAGCAAGAATAAAAAAAGAGGATCTTTTACATAGTGTAAGCGATAAATTTGATCGTGATCTAATCGTAAAGCGATTAGAAATTTTAGTATTAAAAATTTATTGTGTTTATCGCGTGATTTACTTAATTTAATCGGCTTGGACGTCCATTTGGATGCGTTTTATGTAGTCAAATAGTTCTCTTTCTTAGTGCGATGACGTCGTTGTAATTGTATTGCATAACTGACTGAATATCGTCGGAGGTGGGTCAAGTGCAATCGAGTCGTTCTTTCACAGTATCATGCCAGTCGCGTCTCACTCGCGCAATGTCAAAAACTGTCAGTGTTGCAATCAATAAATTGACCGTTTAATTGATTATCTATGGCGGATGCGAGTCACGATAAAATGTTTCCTTGCTCAGAATAGATATCAAAGAAGTCACCGGTGCAGATCGCTTTAAAATAAATAGAGGAAGGATATCACGGTATACGAGTATCAAGGGTATCACGATATAAAGATAAGAGCGGTAATAGAAGTAAAATAACTTTGGCTCATAATAATCTGTTCCAAATCAATATTATATCAATATATAAAATTAATGTATCTTGTCGTTTGTCACTTTATTTCTATTAAATAAATTAAATTAAATAATACAAAGTAAATTTAAAGAAATAAAGCTCTTTCTTTTATGCAAGCATATTTCTTTTAAATAACATATTTCGTAGAATATATTGTATTATATGAGAATTTTGTAGCGATACACGTGGAACGTGCATTACACAGATAGCGAAAAAATATTTGCATTGTAAAAGTATATCGATAAAAAATACGATTTCGCTCTTTTGCGCTATTTGGATTTTTATTTGGAAAACGAAAATACCTATATATATGATAAGACAACGTGAATTTTGACACGCGATAAATTTTATGCATGAATAAGAATGTATGATATTTTGAAGTTCCTCGAGATATATATTTTTATAAAATATACGTTCCATTATTTATTTACACGTGCTATATTATTCCTACTTGTTCAAATTAAAGAAATTAAATAACATGCAAAACACAAAATTCAACAAATAAAACACACCGTAGATGCTTCCACCTCGTTTCTGTGCCAGTTTGTGCAAAACCATGCGATAACACCAACCTTGAATGAGTGTAGAAAATGCATTTAACTTAATGATTGATAGTATTAGATAAAAAGATAATCGCTGAATATAATCTTATTGTAATGTTTAAGAATTTATGTAAACTTGATATAAAAAATAATTTTTTATACAACGTAATTAATATGTAAATTAATTTTTAATTATTATGTAAGATATGTATAAATGTATAATTTATATTTTGCTATTTGTCTATTTTTATTATTTTTTTTTAATTACATTATATAAAACACTATATGCATGCTAAATTAGAAGCGGTTTTCCCGAAATGTCAATGTCAAATCATTAATCGTTGTTTAATATGCAATTTTACTTTTTAATTTTGCTCACGCGCTGATCTTTTTATTAATAACTCGCTAGTCGCGTCAGTGCCGCTTATGTGTTCAAAGGATCCAAACGACTTACGCAGGAGTCTACGCAAACAAAGGAATCTACGCAAAAGAAGCCATTTATAAGAAATATTTGAATTAATTGGCGAAGTGACCTTCGATCATTGCTTGTTTCTCTAATTTTTAATCAAGTCAAACATATAATGTGTGATTCTAAAATATTACCAAAAAAAAAGAAATAGATAAAATGTCTATCTATCGAGACAGTTGCGAGGAATGCACTTTGAAATTCATTGACAACGATAAGTAGTGATCTACTGGTGTATACATATAATAGAGAAAATGCATTCGAAGAATCACTGAAGAAATCAAACAGCAGAAATTGTATATATTTAATAATTCTTTTCTCACAACAAAAGAAGAAACATTAAATTTAATAATCAATTTTATTTTTGCGAATGATTTATTGCTTGTAACGACGAATTATCGTCAATCATTTTTTAATTAAGTTGAGAACGTGAGCCATTGTTGCTTACGTAGCAGTTATCCTCTTGTCATTATCTTTTATCTTCCAGTGACAACCGGAGAAGTTTCTCGAAGTTTGTACAATGCTAAATCCGCCGTAGAAGTGTTCTAAGCGGAGAAGCGTTACGTGGTTGAAGTCGTGAGAGAAGCAGAATACGAGGCAGTATTTGCGAGCAAAGGAGCAACAGAAGGAAAGGGCAACAAAAAAGAGAAAGTAAGAAAGAGCTATAGAAGATCTATAGAAGAAAAGAGAGAGAGAAAAACGGACCTTTGAGAGTTCTACTAGCAACGTAGAACCGATTTAGCACATGTTTCGTTTAGGTTCGAAATAAAGGCAAGAACAGTTATTTGAGCGGCAAGAAGGGACTTAGAATATAGACAAAGAAAGACAGACGAAAAGCGATAGAAGAGAAAGAAAAATACAATTTTGTTTTTTCTAGACCGATCTACTCGAGATGAATAAGGACAACCCGAGTAACTTACATATGACCGAGAATATTGGCGAGGATACTACTGCGAGGAAGATACAATGGCGCAATCTCGTGGCGTTTTGGATTCTAGGACTGTGTAACAATTACGGCTACGTTGTTATGCTGAGCGCTGCCCATGATATCCTCAATATCAAGTTCGGTGATAAGGTGAGTCGATTCTTATACGTTTCTCGCTCGTTTAAAGTGGTGGATAAATTGAGGCTTAAATTGGTAAAATAGTTGGAAGTAAATTTAAAATTACATTGTATTGAATTTTTTGTATCCTATAATTGAATTAGAGTAGAAAGTAAAAAATATTAAGAAATGACAGAAAAATAATTTTAATATCAAAATAAAATTTTTTTAAATATCTCTTTCTGTAATATAATTTTTTGCATGTGTTTGTGTAATATAGAAAATAATTATAAAATCTTGAGAATCTCTCAGATTAAAACTTTAGATAAAGATCAATATGGCTGCCGACAGAAATAGCCAGATCGATTGCATTGATGAAAAAATCATTTGATCTTAAAATTCCGATAGATTAGAATTAAGAATTAATGAAATTTTTAATGCCTTTATTTAAAATTCAGGTACGCTGGACAAAGCTTAACGGAGGCTTAGATAAGAGTTACCTTGCGTGGGTGAACTATATTGTTGTTCGCTCCAGATAACAATAGTATTCATGTGACAATATCAGATTTATCCCGGCATGAGATAAGAATATATATATATAAATGATATACATGATATATTGCTTTATTTTATTTACATGTTAGAATAAATCTCAAGCAGTTGTTCAAAAGTGATTGAACTTAACAGAGAATTGATGGGTGGATCAAAATATCAATTGATAATATTGGTTGATATGCTTTTAACTGTTTGCATATCGATTAAGTCCTTGCTGATTTATGATAGTTGAGCAATTAAATGTGTATCCATGGAAAATTTTTAAACGACAATATTAATAAACTACCACTAGAGAATAAAACTATCTTTTAAACTGATTATACGGAACTATACGTCACAAATCAATTTATAAATATCCGTGCTTTAAAGATAACACGTAATGATCTATCTGGTAACCTAATTATTTGTCGACCTTATACGAGAAAAATTGTCGCGTTTTCGGCATATATTGTATAATACATTATTTATTGCGAAATAATATAATTATATAGAAACCTCTCTTATATGTAAAATAAAACAGGATGTGCTAATAGTTAAGATTAAATTAAAAGGAAAAAATAAATTAAATATATTAAATAAAAAAAAGAAAAAATATATCTAAAAAATGAGATTTGTAAAAAGCGCTAATTAAATTTTGACATGGAAGATATTTTTTTTATTTTGTATAAGAATATCTGCGAGGGAATTGCTAGTGTTACTCTGGTTTTTTTTTTTCTAGAATTCCACGATAAACACAAATGGCACAAATATTCCGTCGCATACGACGGAGATTCGCTCATGCAACACACTTTCGACCGGTGCAATACTCTTGGCAGATATTCTACCAGCGTTGGCGATTAAGATGACAGCACCGTTCCTGCCGTTTCATGTAAAGTGAGTATTTACGTATATGTTTCTCTTTTGTTTTAGTCGTTACAAAGTGAGCACTGCAAAAGAATAATTGTTGAATATACGTCTTATCTTTATTAGCGATTGGAAACGGCACTAAAAATAAAGCATAAGACACTTTTTTTTCATGAAACGTTTCTATTATTCTTCTTTGGATCTTATGAGCGATTTTCTCACGTTGTACAATTTATCTCTCACATAAATATTCAAGTCTCAATAAGTCTCAGTCCTTTTAAAAATTAGACCAAATTCTTATCAGTGTGTGAATACACGCACATTTACAAGAATTCCATTGGCTCTCTTGAGCTGCACGCGAGATAACAATTCGGCGAATAAAGATAAGATCCCGATTAATTTGCATGGCGATTGAAGGATGCTCTTTTAATAATGATGTATGCATTCTTAGTAACTGCATCTCAAAATAAGATACAAATAATATCAAAAGCGGTAAAAAATTGTAACAATTGTACGAAGATTATGTAGCAAAATATTATAACAAAAATTAATTAATGCGTTTTTATTCTTATGCATCATACTTGTGTAACATGACGGATAGTTGACGATTTGGAACCTCAACAATATAAAACCTTTTCGCGATGTGCAAGCGACAAGGCCCCAATCATCAGTTAAAATGCTAATCGATTAATCGACTTGTTAATTACAGTTTTCGAGTCGCTATCTGTGTGTTATATTCCGCTGCAGGATTTCTCATGGTGTCATTGAGCACTGTTGAATGGCTCGCCATTGCGGGCGTCGTCATAACATCGCTTTCCTCCGGCTTGGGTGAGGTCACCATGCTCAGTTACAGTAATCAGTTTTCCAAGTAAGTGTACAAGTCATTCGCTATTGTTTATATTACGATGCTAATGCAGTGTCTTTGGTTCATTATGTTCGTTAATACATATCGGAAATTGATTACATAGTTTAACAAAAAAAAAGAGTAACTATTTCTATAGCATATATAAAGTATACATAAATTCTAAGGTAAATTATCTTCAAAGATATTTAAAGTATTGTCATGAAGTAGCGTGTTTGAAAGATTGTCATCTGCTGTGACAGTAGGTACGTTTCCAGAGTACTAAAAACGGAATATTTAGACAGTTGTGACAGAAAAATAGTGATAAGATAATGTATAAGGCGACCTTTCAGATCTCTTAAAAAAGATGTGTAATAAAAATGTAATAAATTCTATCGTAAATTCAATGTAATATTATTTTTATTTTTCATTTTTTTTATATGTTTTGATCTTTATTTTTATCGATTTCTTAGCTGTCGGATAAATTTAAAATGTATTAATTAATTTCTTTTTGCAGTCAGGTGATTTCGACATGGTCATCGGGAACAGGAGGCGCCGGAGTGATCGGTGCTATATCTTACGCCACTCTTACTACGATATTGTCTATCGAGAACACATTGTTGATCATGTTAATTGTGCCACTTTTGCAAGCAATCGCGTTCTGGTGTATTTTGAAACATCCGGCGCATATCAGAATATCAGTTATTAAGAACGGTGTCAAGAGTCAAGAGCAGATCATCAAGGTCCCCGAGAAGAGCATCATGGACAAGATCAATTTGATGCCTGGCTTGTTGAAATACATGATACCGCTTGGGCTGGTTTACCTTTTTGAATACTTCATCAATCAAGGCCTGGTATACAATATTTTTTTCCATCCTCGCTATCTTCAACTGTTAAATAACATATTTGTTTGTTTCAGTTAAATCTATTTATATATTTATATTACAAACATCTCTTCTTCTTTCTATTAGTATTATGTGTTGTAAGGATTGTTGTTAAAAGGATACAAGATATATAAATTTCTTTCTTTTTTCTTTTAAAGAAGAATAGATATATGCAGAGGAATTACATCGTTTAGCATTATTTATGAAATAATTGCTCACACACTTTTATAAATTATTATACGACAATTAATTTTAATTAAGGAGAGACCGAAGTTGGTCGAGATTCGAAACGGATTGTTAAATTCAATTTTTATTTAAAAAAGATTTTATCTATTACAATTTACTCCAGATATAATAACTTATTCCAGATCCGTAAGAATCTTCTCAAGCGTAAGAGTCATTCGGGGTTGATTGTTACAAGCATCGCCTTTTGATATTTTCTATTAAATTTTCTAAAAAAATAAATTATAATTTTTTTATCAAAAAAATAATTTTCATGCAGTAGAAGCATATAGTTCTCGAAGATGCTTTTATAGCATTTATCATATTTATAGATTAATTACAAAAATTTATAAAAAAAGTCCGTATCAACTAATTACAGTTTTTCCTAAAATGAGCGATATATTTATAGTACGAGCTTATCGAATTCGATGACATTTCGTTGAAACCACACGAACAATATAGATGGCTCCAAGCGGATTATCAGATAGGTGTATTTATCTCGAGATCATCGGTAAACCTAGTTACGATTAACAGAATTTGGATTATGTCCGTGTTGCAGGTAATTATATATTCAAGGGATTGAACAAATACGAATTATATGTTGAGTCTTTGTAAAATTTATTTCACAAACTGATCATTTTTTTTCAGTTTATTAACGTCATTCTTCTCCTCTTTGAGACTCTTTTCTATTATATACCGAATATATGGATCGTTTTCGCCCTTGTATTGTGGGAAGGTCTACTTGGTGGTGGGGCGTATGTGAACACTTTTTACCAGATGTCAACTGAGGTAATAAGGTTATTGTAAAAAAAAAAAAAACAATTTTAAAATTATATTAAATAATGCAAAACCAATAATATAAAAGCTAAGTTTGTTGAATATTTCTAGAGAGAACTTACTTTTAAAGAAGAGTGAAAAATATTCTGTTACTCTCTCTGTTCTCTATCTGACAATTTATTTTCTACGATTGTGCAAAATTAATTTGATCGCAGATTTTGAAAGAGGATCGTGAGGTCTCTATGGGAATCGCGACGATGTCGGACTCGATCGGAATCGCGTTGGCCGGCTGGCTGTCCATGCCGGTCCACAATGCCATTTGCAAGCTGCCCCAGCCGAAGAGATTAGGTAGCTAAAGATATCGCGAATCTTTTATCTCATTTATCACACGGAGTGATAACGAAGTTTCCGCGTGTGGAAATTTTTGTTTCTGAAAGTCCCTTAATGCGATACGTCTGTATTTACAGCATCGAAAATCGATACGATTTGTTTCTAGTAAGCATTTAGCAATTTTATGTAGACTAAGTTTTATCACGCGATTGACGTTTGATATCACAAGAAAGCAATGTATTGGTTTGATGACGATTTTATAATGCGAACATTTACGAAGTCTGCGACATTTCGAGGTACACTAGCATTAAAAAAAAAAATATCTCAGGATGCATGAATTTTCATCATCCTTTGTAAAAATTTTAATTGTTTTGTAAAAATATTTTTAAAAAAAGTATTACCTCTTTTTCTAGATTTTCTAAAAAACTTTTTAAAGCCACGACTGTCTCGCTTAAGAATTTTTTAGATTCATGTTTTTCACGAATCGATTTATGATTCATATAACATGAGTGATTCATGATTCATATAACGCAGTTTTTATTAGAAACATTTCCGAACTTTATTCGATACAAATGTTTAAAAGACTTAAAAAGAATAGGTCATATATTATGCGACATACTCATATACAATACATTATATGACGACATAGCACGTGATAAGCTTGAAGCACGTGACATATTAGGAATATCGACGCTTTTTTCTTATGAAATGAAGGAAAACTTTTTCAAAATAATGTACCCTTTCAGTCCTTTGCGGGTTGTACTGTACTTTACGATACTCGCCTAAATTTCGAATTGTACTGCATTCCTCTCCATTTTTTCATGATAGTGTATCTAAATTTTTTGATTTGTACTGTGGTTTTGTTCCTTTTCTTTAATACGTAAATGAATTTGAAAACTACTAAAACGTAATTTTTTGATTTTTATATTGTTGCATTATTTCCGGCAACGACACGAAAACAGGTTGTCTCGTGTGTATTTTGAGATTGTATACCACAAAATGTTAATCTCGTTCGAAGACTATCTCATAGTATTAATAACTACACAGTAACGAATTGATTTCACCGAAGAATTATAAATTACTTAATAACGCATATGTCGTTTCCACTGTGAATTAGATATAAAGGTTACTAGTTTAAACTATCATGTTTCTATTTTGATATATTATATTTTTCGTACACATTTTGATTGAAAGATTGTGATTAAATATTATACTTTTTATGTCGATTTTAATAAAATTGATACAATTCGAGAAAGCAACAGCTCAATATTTTTCTATTTCATGGCGTTGTATTTTTTTTACAATAATACCAATAATAATATTATTGATATTGCATTCACATTATGCAAAAATATAAATAAAAATTACATTGTAAAAATAATTATATAAAAAATACAAACTTATAAAAGTTCTGAACGACTTAAGAATTGAAATTTCGATATATTTTAAATTTTGGGTTGTTGTCTCCTCGAAATACGCTTTTGTTACATTTATAAGCGTCCTTTAGTCACCTCTCATTTCAAGCAACATTTTTTCCTTTCGTATCAAAATACCTACCTACTCCAGCCTTTTAATATCGAAATCGATTTTTATATTTAATAGGATATAAATAGCGATTACGTGATGCTAGAGATATTACGTTTACAAAGTTATGATAACGTCGTTTTTTTTTTTTTTAAGGATAACTTATTAGAGCGAGAATATCCGCGATAACGGACATTACTATTGTCTGTAAAGCGAGTATTTTACTCTCACAGTGAAATAAATATGTCTAATGACGATCTATTACAAAATAGTCTACATCGCGTACATTCATTTATATGTTTGCGAAATGACTTTGACGGAAAAAGTGTGATCGTTCTCTCCTAAAATATACGATGTACATGGAAGATTCTTGGAGCAATTAGGAACTGTATCCTTATAAGCCGCGCGTTTTACATTTATACTTCCCTATCTAACACTAAAGCTGTCTAAAAGCGAGTTGCCGATTAAACATTGCTTTTACTCGCGTTACACAAGATGTTTTTGATTAATCGCACTTCCTTTAATCAGAAGTACGTACAGTTGCTTCGAAACGCATTCTATAAAAAGTTTTATCGTGAAAAATTATCTCCCGAGAAAAATTCTTCGCACATTATTTAGGCTTTTGTAGAATCCTTAAACTCTTAGGCGTTTCAGAATGCGTTTGATAATTGTTGCTCACGAGGACGGCTTACGTTACACCGTCGCCATTACATCGATTGTTATATAAAACGCTTTTAAAATAAGATTTATTTGATTGATATTTATAATTTATATCGATATAATTGAACTAAAAATCGCGAAGCCTATCTTTTTTTATTATATATTAATATATATAATAAAATAAAATAAATATATTTTTCATATATTAATATCTAATAATTATCCAGATATAACACAAATGTGTTACACACAAAAAATGTTGCAGACATCTAAACAATGTACTAATTTTCTGCTCAAACATCTTTTAAGTGTGTCTTTGAAAATTTTTGCATTAATTATAAAAATTATTATCCATTAGATTAGAAACAACAAAAATAATTGATTTGCAAAATTTCAGTTCTTATACCAAGATTTTCTCCATTATTGAATTATGCGCATCTTTCCAAAATGAGCTTGCCTGATTCTTCGTACTCTTGACGCGACAGCCACATTTGCTGGAAGGAACCCAAAGAGCTGAGGATCGAGCCGCCGATCCAAGCACCATAACGACGCTCACTCGAGCTGTTCGCGCTAATTATTTTCAGTCTCATACTCTGCAAATCAAAATTGAGTCATCGTAAAGCGAGCTCGAAATTAAATTTCGATAATATAATAAGCTTTAAGGTCACGAGAAGCGAGCTTACTGGCGGGGTCTTGCTGGCCAAATCCCGATTCAGTCTCTCGCCGAAACCCTGAAGACACGAGTTGCCACCGGTCACCACTACGCTGCCATACAAGCTCTACAACATAAATATTTCCTTGTAAAATAATAATAATCGACAATTTTTTCTTTATCGACACAAAATCGACTCTAGATTCTACGAGGAATTTAATTTGTTTGTTTCTCTCTTCTTTTTTCTGTTTTAGTACTACTTCTTGTATTAACACATTTGTATACCAAAGGGATATTTTTCTTTTTTCCCGTAATATATATATATAAATAAATAAATAAATAAATAAATAAAATAAATAAATAAATTTAATCGAAATAGAATATTTTATACGATATAAATTCGAGAATACGTACTGGTCTAATGTCCATGTCGCACATCCCGACACTCGTGGTGACGAGAGGCCCGATCCCTAAGATACTCGCGCCCACACCCTTAACGTTGCTGGGATCGAAAAGGGCCTCGGGTATCATGAGCCTCACGGATCCGAAATCGTCGTTGTATCCGGTCGGAAATTCGTAATGCTTCATGGGTAGAGTATTTGCTATATCTTCGTCGTACGGACTGTCCGACACTTGCAGGCAGTTCATCTGAAAGTCCTGCAAGATCTCTCGAACCATGTAGCTCAGCCAGGAAGACGTCGGTTGGAATCCGGCTCGTCTCGTCCAGCGTGGTGGATCTCTCTCTCGCACTACGTCTAGGAGAAACGTATAAATTTGTAAATAAAAAATCCACGTGTAATTGAATTTTTTTCTAATCTCAATTATTATAAAAATCGATCAGAGATGTTCAAGTATATAGCTACTGTAATCCTTTGCGTTAGAATACGTGAAACTTAAATAAAGTAAATAGTAAAAGTTTATTGCACATCATCTTCTTTTTTACACAATCTCTTAAATTTTATTAATTAATTAAATTTTTTACTATCTACATTTATAGTTCATGAGGCACCAACCTTTGCTAGCGACGAGACAAGCCGGTATCAATTCGATATCCTTCTCCTCGAAGAATTGTCTACACTGCATGGTGATAAAGTCGCCTCCTAAAGGACTTTTAACGATCCCTTGGGTGATAACGTAACCATCGTGAACCGGTACCGCGCTGGTATGCGTGGCACCGCTGTCCACGACCATCGCCGTGGATCTGCCGTTGGCATTTTTTTTTTTTTTAAGGATAACTTATTAGAGCGAGAATATCCGCGATAACGGACATTACTATTGTCTGTAAAGCGAGTATTTTACTCTCACAGTGAAATAAATATGTCTAATGACGATCTATTACAAAATAGTCTACATCGCGTACATTCATTTATATGTTTGCGAAATGACTTTGACGGAAAAAGTGTGATCGTTCTCTCCTAAAATATACGATGTACATGGAAGATTCTTGGAGCAATTAGGAACTGTATCCTTATAAGCCGCGCGTTTTACATTTATACTTCCCTATCTAACACTAAAGCTGTCTAAAAGCGAGTTGCCGATTAAACATTGCTTTTACTCGCGTTACACAAGATGTTTTTGATTAATCGCACTTCCTTTAATCAGAAGTACGTACAGTTGCTTCGAAACGCATTCTATAAAAAGTTTTATCGTGAAAAATTATCTCCCGAGAAAAATTCTTCGCACATTATTTAGGCTTTTGTAGAATCCTTAAACTCTTAGGCGTTTCAGAATGCGTTTGATAATTGTTGCTCACGAGGACGGCTTACGTTACACCGTCGCCATTACATCGATTGTTATATAAAACGCTTTTAAAATAAGATTTATTTGATTGATATTTATAATTTATATCGATATAATTGAACTAAAAATCGCGAAGCCTATCTTTTTTTATTATATATTAATATATATAATAAAATAAAATAAATATATTTTTCATATATTAATATCTAATAATTATCCAGATATAACACAAATGTGTTACACACAAAAAATGTTGCAGACATCTAAACAATGTACTAATTTTCTGCTCAAACATCTTTTAAGTGTGTCTTTGAAAATTTTTGCATTAATTATAAAAATTATTATCCATTAGATTAGAAACAACAAAAATAATTGATTTGCAAAATTTCAGTTCTTATACCAAGATTTTCTCCATTATTGAATTATGCGCATCTTTCCAAAATGAGCTTGCCTGATTCTTCGTACTCTTGACGCGACAGCCACATTTGCTGGAAGGAACCCAAAGAGCTGAGGATCGAGCCGCCGATCCAAGCACCATAACGACGCTCACTCGAGCTGTTCGCGCTAATTATTTTCAGTCTCATACTCTGCAAATCAAAATTGAGTCATCGTAAAGCGAGCTCGAAATTAAATTTCGATAATATAATAAGCTATAAGGTCACGAGAAGCGAGCTTACTGGCGGGGTCTTGCTGGCCAAATCCCGATTCAGTCTCTCGCCGAAACCCTGAAGACACGAGTTGCCACCGGTCACCACTACGCTGCCATACAAGCTCTACAACATAAATATTTCCTTGTAAAATAATAATAATCGACAATTTTTTCTTTATCGACACAAAATCGACTCTAGATTCTACGAGGAATTTAATTTGTTTGTTTCTCTCTTCTTTTTTCTGTTTTAGTACTACTTCTTGTATTAACACATTTGTATACCAAAGGGATATTTTTCTTTTTTCCCGTAATAAATAAATAAATAAATAAATAAATAAAATAAATAAATAAATTTAATCGAAATAGAATATTTTATACGATATAAATTCGAGAATACGTACTGGTCTAATGTCCATGTCGCACATCCCGACACTCGTGGTGACGAGAGGCCCGATTCCTAAGATACTCGCGCCCACACCCTTAACGTTGCTGGGATCGAAAAGGGCCTCGGGTATCATGAGCCTCACGGATCCGAAATCGTCGTTGTATCCGGTCGGAAATTCGTAATGCTTCATGGGTAGAGTATTTGCTATATCTTCGTCGTACGGACTGTCCGACACTTGCAGGCAGTTCATCTGAAAGTCCTGCAAGATCTCTCGAACCATGTAGCTCAGCCAGGAAGACGTCGGTTGGAATCCGGCTCGTCTCGTCCAGCGTGGTGGATCTCTCTCTCGCACTACGTCTAGGAGAAACGTATAAATTTGTAAATAAAAAATCCACGTGTAATTGAATTTTTTTCTAATCTCAATTATTATAAAAATCGATCAGAGATGTTCAAGTATATAGCTACTGTAATCCTTTGCGTTAGAATACGTGAAACTTAAATAAAGTAAATAGTAAAAGTTTATTGCACATCATCTTCTTTTTTACACAATCTCTTAAATTTTATTAATTAATTAAATTTTTTACTATCTACATTTATAGTTCATGAGGCACCAACCTTTGCTAGCGACGAGACAAGCCGGTATCAATTCGATGTCCTTCTCCTCGAAGAATTGTCTACACTGCATGGTGATGAAGTCGCCTCCTAAAGGACTTTTAACGATCCCTTGGGTGATAACGTAACCGTCGTGAACCGGTACCGCGCTGGTATGCGTGGCACCGCTATCCACGACCATCGCCGTGGATCTGCCGTTGGCGTACGCGGCTAGCACGGCGTTCTTGCAGATGTACATGGCCGGCACGTTAAACTTCTCGAACATTAACTCCAGCAACTTCTCGCGCTTCAGTCTGGTGTTCCACGGGCACTCGGTCATCAAGATCGGATGGTGTTCGGCTAAGGCATGTAATCGTTGCTTGTACGTATATTCGGTCAGTCGTTCAAACATATCCCAGTCCTCAATCATGCCGTCCTTCATCAAACTCACTATCTCCATATCTAAATCGAAAAATCAGATTCTTTAATGTTATGATTAATTTATTATTAAGTAAGTTATGGGAATATTAAGAAATATTAAGGATTTGTCGAAAGTAAATAATAAAAATTTTCACAAAAAAATATTTTATATAGAAATTATTTATATTTGTATAAAATATATAAAATAAATCACTAGAAAAATTGTCTTTACATAAATCATAAGATATGTATTTTATAGGAAAATATTTCAAATGAGAATTGCTTGATTTTGATTTAGAACAAAACCTTGCTGATAACAAGGATCATCTTCGAAAAATCAAACAAATTTTTTATCTAAAACACATTTTTCTACAATATATATATATATATATATATATCTTAAGAGGGTAACAATTTTTGGTAACTTACCCGGTATACATATATATAGAAAGAAAAGATAAACATAAGAGATTCTTGTACGTAATATCACGTTATGATATAATGTAGAAAAATTTACAATAACGTACCATTTTTTCGCACTTGGATAGCCGTGACGTCGATGTTGTAATGCTTCCTGTTGACGTTGTTGCAGTCGATCCCGCCAGGATCGGCGGGTTCCTCCCACACCCCGAGGGTCGTCGGGATCTCGGCCTTCGGCGTGTCCTCGCCGCCATATCCCACGCGGAGGCTCTGGTGTCCGACGTCGAAGATGATAGCACCTACCTCGTCTGGGGTAACAATCGAGAATGACTACACGGGATTGTCACGGGTGTAAACGCGATCGCTTTCTAACCCGGGAAATAATTATGGAGAGCGCGGCCGTACTTACCACCGCCGTAGACACCACCGCTCATAGTATCTGAAGGGAGAGGAAGACCGGCGCATGCCTAGACGGAGTCTTTCTACCCTTGCATGCGTACACACGCAAACACACGCATACATATCCGAATCCGGGAGGATTGCGCGGCTGCTCCCAGGACTAATCGATCGTCGCTTGTAACGATTCATGATTTTAATTTGATCTTACAAAGAACAAACTGAGGAAATAAATATAAAATAATTATAAAAATAAAATTAATATAAACATATAAAATGTAAATATGAACATAAAAATAAAATAAATAAACATAAAATAATGAGACGCGGTAGCAAGTCTAGCAATAACTTTACAGCGTTTTTTTTTTTTTTTTAAGAGGCGATGTCATATAATGCACAGAATTATAAGAATTTATACAAATATAGATAAGAGACATATTTACAATGTTATATCTTATAGACAAGAGAGATTCTATTTTTATTTTTATTTTGAGTAATGACTTTTTTTATTTTTAGATACCAAAACAATCAATTATATTATTATTTAGTTATTATCAATTAAATTCATTTAATTATATCCGATTAAATATTTAAAACATGCATTTTTCCAGAAGATTTAAAAAAAAATACATTTGAAAGAACTACTAGCCTTCATCATTTTGCTTTTTTATATCAATTTATGTGTTTTTTGTAGAAAATAGATTCGAGCTTGAGAGACTTTTAGAAATATGAACAGGAGGTAAATAAATACAAGAGACAAGCACACATTTTCCAATATGGAATTAGTGTTGTATATTTTACAAAGTAAATAGAATATAAACAATCTAAAGTCGTCTAAAACACAATAGTACGAATTTCGTGGTAAATTATTTCGTGTGTCGTAAAGATAGACGATATATCATCAACAGGGCGACTCCTCTCGCTTTCCTCCACCTCGCGCGCCGGATGACAACCGGAAATAACGGGGGGTGAGCGCGAACGACTTGTCGGCTGACTGGAAAGATCATCGAGCGTGAACGATGACCCAACCAACCAATGGGGGGATGAAGCGTCGGTCAAACTGATTCGATGGCAACATATAGTATCACGGAGGCTGCGTTTCGCGCTGCGTGGCGATGACACGCACTCTCTCTCTCTCTCTCTTTCTCTTTCTTTCTTCTCGCGTATCTCAATCTAATTTTTCTGACATCGTCATCATCATCATCATCATCGGGGTCCGTCGATCGTTAATCGACGCAGGCTGGCATCGCGCGTCGTTACGCGTTTTCTTCCTCCTCTTCTTCGTTTCTTCTTTCGTCTGACGGGAGAGGGTCCGGATGTCGCGAATGTGATGTGGGCGATTCACGTTGAGCGAGGTACAGCGGGTACATTAGTGGATAGACAGTTTACAGACATTATGCTTTCGGTTGTTACGTTTAACGCTACGTGCGAGTAATTCGTCTACTAAGGCTAGGTTTACGCTTGACATTTATCGACACACCTGTTTGACAGTTCTTTCCCATATTAGTATAACTCCTTTTCTTGGCTTTTGCGCGAGATTTATATTATAAACACGCATGCAAGTGCGATAAATGACACATGTAAACCTACTACGATGCTTCTCAGTCTCTCGTATGTAAAGATGAAACGACACTGACGACAACGACGAACGAGCTGGCTTTATTGCATTACATTACTTCCTCCCTTCGCTTCAAACACACATTCTCCGTAAAAGTGGAAGATCGACAGCTATGCGTTATTTTTTCGTTCATTTTATGCGATGAATGAATGCTCGATCGGATTGTGAATGAGTGGAAGACAAAGAAAACGCTTGGAAATCGCGTATTGCTCGCTTCGATATGCATGTAACAAGTTTCGCCAGACTATTTGATAAAGTCTGGGGAGAAGGATTCACGGGGTATCTTGGTCAATCGTAAATTTTTTTCGCAGTCGTTGGTCGTTTTATTGTATATATAGTAAGATGGCAGTTACCATTAGAATTTTACGGTTTAATTATACAGTCGTCGCGCGTTTTCGCGTTTTCATACTTTCGCTATTGTAATAATTACTGCAGGACATCGTGGTGTGTGTGTGTGTGTGTGTGTTGTGTGTGTGTGTGTTGTTGTGTGTGTATCTGTGTATGTGCTTCAGTGGCGAGTGCTCGTGTAGAGATCGTTTCCGGAGGGAAGAAATCCAAGATGGATGCAGATTACGCCGCCATTTTAACTAACTAGGATTATTACACGAAGTGGAATAAACATGGCAGTTTTTTTCTTTTTATTGCGAATTGTCGTCGACATCGCCCGTATCGTATAATTCCTGCCACGATATAGAACAGACAACAATATAACCCGAGCCGCTCCGCTCAGCGACACGAAACCTTCGAGGTTCCACCGAGCGGAACCAAACGGCAGCTTATATAGACTCTCTCTGTCTCTTATTAAACTTAACTTCGTTATAATCAATCTGCCACAGTGTACGTGTGTGTTTGCCTAATCGTATTAACGCGCTTATACACTTAAATCCGATACGAGAGAAATAATCTCGATTGATATCATTTTCTTCGCAAAAAGCGAAGCTGGCAGCTCTTGTGGAACACATCGTCGAGTTGATAGAAAGACGTCACGCGTTCTCGTCGACCAGGAGCAGAACTGAAGGATAATATTGAATTTTGTTATTTAAACGACTGGCGGGGCCGGGCACCAATACAAATTAACGAAACGACGGACCGCGGCTTACATTATTAGATTTTCGCGTGGTTTTCACTTTATAGCTTTTTTTCCTGTCTTATTTCTTTTTTTTTTGTTTCCTTTTACTTTACGACGGGGTTCTCGTATATCTCATCGGAGGCTTTTACACGTATTTACACCGCGATTACAAAGTCACGGACGTTTCGTTGGCTGTTGTGGCCGCGATCGAAGTCGCATTCGGCCTCGCTTAGCTCAAACGCGTCGGAGAAGCCCGAGGGTGGGTCCAGCTTGGGGACGAACAGGTTTCCTGATCCGTCACGTTCCTGTTCCCGATTGGCATAGGAATTGCCCGACTGGTGCTTGGGATGGCCAGGCCCGGCGATTGACCCGAAGTTGGCACGGGCCTCCTCGCTGGTATGACGCGCCAGCTGTAACATCCTGAGCGCAAACAGGCTCTCCTTCATCCGCATCTCGTTATAATTAATATAATTCCATATAATTTAAAGATCCACAGGAAAATATTACGGGAAAAATGAAAGAAATAAATTATATCGATTGGAAGCTTACTTGGGTCTTCCCCTTCCAGGAAACGATTTTCTCTCAAAAATCGGTGAGGGTTCTGTAGACGTGCTAGATTCTGGTCCATGGTACAGGAAGTCTGCAAAGCAAATGTTTCCCCTTTGTGTCATTCTCTTACTACGTCAAACAACGAACGATTACAACGGTCACAGTGCTTTCGCGCGATGAACACCCTCATCATGGATCTAATATATTGCGCAGCGTATAACAATCGATTTCAAATGACAAGCAAGATTCTGCAACCAAGGAAGCTAGTACATACACATACAAATAAGCGTCAAATAAAATTTCGCCGGGTAAACAAACAGCGTACACGCGTTACGTCGTGATCCTCGAATTTTTGGCGAATGTTCGCGATATCGACAGAACCAAAATATCCGTAGCTAGATCTAGAGGCAGCAACGATCACGTTCCACGGGCCTCGGAGAACAGAAGCGGGAGCTTGGAATCCTTCATAGGATCGATTCTCTAGAGAAGATGCGTCGAAAATAAAAAAAAACGGAGACTCCACTTCTGGACTCAGAAACTACTTTTTTTTTTTACTATTCTACTGCTACACTTCTGAGGAGATAGAAAAAGAGAGAGAGAGAGAGAGAGAGAGAGAGAGAGAGAGAGAGAGAGAGAGTGAGAGAGAGAGAGAGAGAGAGTGAGATAGAGAAAGAGAGAGAGAGAGAAAGAAAGAGAAAGAGGTGAAAATATTGCATACTGTGGACGCGCGAGTCGGCCGCAGATGCCGAGTGGTGCGAATCGACGAGGTGATTGGAAGACTCGGTTCGGCTGCTGGTCCCGACTTCCGTGTCGCTGTCCGAGCCCAGGGTGTCGTACTCCTCCGACTCGGACTTGCCCTGACTGACCTTGTGCGCTTTGTGTAACGGCGCAGAGGACGAACGGCCTCCGCGCACCTTAGTGTACCGGTTGCAATCCGACTGCAATCAGACGGAATTGGTTTCCATGAGATAGCGCACGTCGGCGCATCCAGTATCAGCGGGATCTCGTTTCCCTCGGCGGTCTCTCTCGATCCGATCGCGAAGCGATTCGTTCAGATTTTATAGAGCCCGTTGTCGAGATTCGTGACCTCGTCACGATACGTTCCGATCTGGCCGGGCATTAATAATTTAGCCTGTCGAGATTGCTGCTCGAGAAGCGAGGCGATGGAAAACTCGAATTCGAATTCATCGATTCAAACGGTAATAATTTAGAATCAGAAAGAATAAAATATATTCTGTTTTAAAAAATATAAATTTTATTTTTTTTTTTAAATCCAAATATCTATTTTTTCTACGCGTGTATAAAAATCAGACATATATATTTAATTTTATAAAAATAAAAATCTTTCCATTAGTAATTAATTTTTTTGACAGAAACTGAGATATTATTAATTACTGAATTAAGATCAGCTCAAACAGCATATTCCATATTAATACATGAATATAAGAAACTTTTTATATCCCATTAACCTTCTCCATTTTTCTTTACAGATAACGACGGTTTTATTAATCACTTGTTCCTCTATCTTCCGATATATATTTTTTATACTGCTTTCTACTTAAATATGATAATGGAGGGGAATGTGTTAACGAACTTTCGTCATCGTCTATACAGAAACTCTATTCTACTTCGTTGATAGGAGCCGCGGGGGCGATGCGATGAATCATGAGAGAGTTTTGTGCTACTGCTAGCAGAGAGATACGGCGTAGAGATGCGTAAATGACGAACAGCGTACGGTAGGGGTCCAGTGGTCTGCGCTCTAATCTATTATACCGCAACTCCTCGATTCGCGAAATCGTTTCAGGACAAGAGCTGCGAAACGAAACGAGATGGGACCAGCAGTCGCAACGATGTAACTCGCCATGAGACGCTAATTATTACTAATCCTCTTTACGATTTTTCGTCTCTGAGAATCGGAGAAAGCTCTCGCATTCCCGAATTATAATGTAATTAAAAAAAAAAAAAGGGGGGAACAGTTAGTAATATTTGTGCGCGCGAATTAAAATTCGCGTAATTACGTCACACGTCGCATCGATCGTGCGCGGGACGCTCGAGGAACTCTCACACCGAGCATGCGAGTGCGAGTGACCTAAATATTCACACAGCGGAGGGTCGCCGACTGCGTCGTGAGGATAGGGTGATTTCGGTGCACTGATCGGGATGCGCGCATGCAACTATCGTGAGTATAACGAAGCTGGGAACATATGAGAATGAATGATAAAAGCGTTGAAACTCGTGTCCCTCTACGCACGTTTAATGTTAAAACGCGAATAAATTTATATTTTAAGAACCAAGGCACTTTCGCTTTTTTTGATGTACATTGGAAAAAAGCTCGAGATTACATAATTGAATATTATATTAAGTTCAACGTCTATTATTATATGCAGGTCAAGAAATTAAATTGTAGAATAAATATCAGAGACATATGAAAATAGAAAAATGATGCAATCAAGTAAAAACGTGCGTCGAGGTGGCGAGTAATTCTAATGGCGATACAAGATCGGCGGACGATACCTCTCGTAACTGAAGGGTATCGGCAGTGGAGAGACGAGGGTCGTGATAGACGAAGGTCTGGAGAGGCGCGGCAGAATTGCAGCGGCTGTCGCCTCCAGCAGGAACGCTCTCCTCCAGCTGGAACGTGGCGTACGGGTAGATATCTTCCGAATATTCTACAAGCATGTTCGACGGTTAATTATACTTTTACTTTGGCTATATATCTTTCTCTCTTAGGCCTATTCTCCGCTTATCGCTCTTATCGGTTTTATAAAGCAAAGGAGAGCTCAATCTTATCCGTCTATCTTACCTGGTATTTTTTCTAACGTAGCCATCTCGTGTATTGGCGAACGAAGCGGTTTACGTACGGTGGCGTAATATTGCTCGCGCTGTTCCATATTCTGTTTATTGTCTAAGGCGGCCGCGGTTTGAGCGTCGTTCAGACTCCCGATGTCACCCATAAAAGGACCTGCGAGATGTGAATATAATCGATCATATATATAACGTTTTAAAAATTTAATGAGAGTATAATTGATTCTTCTCTAGACGATTTATCTTAAAACTGAATCTTACAATATGATGTCGATTCGATTACAAACTTATTTTAAATATTTTTACATTTATCTGTATCCCGTTAAAAAAAATTCGTTGAAAAAATTTGGTAAAACTGCATAAAAGGTAACACACCTTCGATTTAATCGTCACTTAAATATGTTATAGAGGAGGTTTTTCTGAATAATTTCCCGCAAGAAATAAGTGGGGAACGGCATTGGTTTCGGAGATATAACAAATTAAAGTTTCATAGTTTTAATGCTTTTTCTCAGATATTATAAAGTAATATTAATAAAGTCTGTGTACGTTGTATTTGTTGTAGAGCAGACGAAAAAGTGTTTGTTTACATTTACGGAATAGATACACGGTCATGGATATTTTGTCAATAATGTGTTTCACCTATTTTTCGCAGTTCGTTAACAGCTTTCATCATGTGACTACATGAATTTCTGAGTCGTCTTCAAAAATATTATTTATTGAATGCGTGGACGAAGGAGGGACGGAGTCTTATGAGTGTATATCTATCCCGTAAATGTAAACAAACACTTTTTCCACGTCTGCTCTACACAAATACGTAAACAAATTAATTTTTCCTTATTTTATAATTGAAAAAGCATTAAAACTATAAAACTTTAATTTGTTATATCTTTTAAACTAATGCCGTCCACACAAATTTCTTTCAGGGATTTAATCAGAAAGATCTCCCCTACAATATATTTAAGTAGCAATAAAATCGGAGGCCTTTTATACAATTTTACTAAAAATTCTTTTGCCATTCTTTTGTAATTTTACTTTTAAAAGTCTACATATATATGCGTTGGACTCTAACGTTTGCGGAAGCAGTAAAAGATAGCGCCGGCCGCGGCGATAACCGCGAACGAGCTTAACACCAGAGGTACGATGAGCTTCAGATCCGAGTAATTGTGCTGGGGGATGTAATGATCGATCTCGATAGCGGATATAGTCGTGCTAATATGCGGCTGCAACGTCGTTATCTTATACTCGGCCACCGATGAGCCCGCATCGTTATGGGCTCTTATACGGATGTCATAAGTAATCCCCGGCTGCAATTCGCTCAAAGTATACGTTTTTTGCACCTGCAAAATATGCATACAAGTCGCGTATTGTATCTTAAAAGAATTAACCTTAATATTTATAGCAAGAACAGATATAATATTACAGATTATTATATTTAAATGTTTTTTCATAAAAGAATCTGCTTCGAATAAAGAAATCTATTATTAAAATTCTTTAAATTAATTAAAATTAATAAATTGTTATTATAAATGTTATTAATGTATAATTTTAGTAATAATATATTTATATAGAGAGATATGTCAAAATATATTTTTGAGAGAAAAAAAACTTTTTCTTATACAGAAAGCTAAATCTATAACTAAATAATATATCCTGGATAGACACATACCTCTATATTATTCGAGACTAACGTCCAGATGTTCTCGCCGTTCTTCCTGTACTCTAGCTCAAAGAACGTTATGGGACAACCCCCGTCATTCCACGTACTTAAGTGCAGAGTAATCCACGAGACATTGACCGTGATAAACTTGTCGCCGGTACCGGGCGATTCGTCCGGCTTCGAGCCCTTCGTGGTCGCCTTGACGATCTCGCTGGGTCTGCCCATGCCGATGCGATTGTACGCCGTCAGGTACATCTGATAATTGTTGCCGCACCAGAGCCGCGGCAGGACGAAGCTGCTCACTTTATGCGACACTTTAAATTCCTCCCATTCACCGGACTCGCGTTTGTAGTGTAAAATGTATCCGCGGATCGGCGAACCGCCGTCGTCGCCGTTCTTCCATTGCACGTTGATGGAATTGCTACTGGTACTGGTCGCGTGCAATAATGGCACCGCAGGTGGAACTGAAAGAGATAATATTGATTTAAGGATCGTGCCTTGTAGGCACCGTACGTTACGATCGTATGTTACAAGTTCCTTGAGAAAGAGTCGTTCTGACATTGAAATATTCTCTTCCTTTCCAAACGTGAGATGATGATGCAAAATACATAAGATAGTGAAAAAGTGATAATAAATGATAACAGTATTCTGCAAGACACTACGTTTATATTAATTAAGACAATTGCTTTTAATTTCCTCGAATACTATATTAATCTCTCTTCATTAATAGTTTAATTTCATTCGATTAAAACTTTTTATATATTTATTGATTCTTTTAATAGTTTATCAAATTATATATTTATATAAATATTTATCAAATTAAATAGAGACAAATCTCTCTTTTATCTCTTTTTACTCTTATTAAGCTGCTAAATATTTTACAAATATTAAGTCCAGTATTTACCTTGCACGGTTAAACGATGAGTTATTTGGTCGGAACCGTGGCGATTCTCCACGAAGCAAGTGTAATTTCCGCTATCCTCTCTATGAAGATCGACAATCTGCAAGGATCCATTGATATGGAGGGACACCCTGGCGGATGGTTTGACTATCTGACCCCATTGCTTCCAAATAATAGAGGGCTCGGGCTTGCCCACGCTTTCGCAAGGTAACATGACGTCTTGCTTCCACGGCACGACGAGCACGGTGCCGAATGAATATATGGCGGCACGAACTGTAATGAAATATCGAGCGAGAACCTTATTCCTTGAGGAGAAGATAAATACGATAAACGCAGTCATCTAAGTTAGCTTGTATCAACCGCTGGGCAAATTCAAGAAAATGTTTCTCCTGACTGAGAAGATTTAAAGTTCCCGTAAAAGAGCTTTGCGCGAGAAACTTCCAAGATTGGAGGAGAAATAAAAAGCGCGTCTCTCTCATTAACAAACATAAACACTCGGTATCTCGTTACTCTAGTCAGCTGTAGACAATTCACTTAACTCGTGGAAACGGATGTTTATTCGATCGGCGCAACTTTTGCAACTAGTTCAATTTGCGTGGAAAGATAACTTTTGCAACTCAAAGTTTCGCGACTGGGGCGAAGAGTTGCGTATTTTCGATATATCAACTACTGTTACATTTTTATACAATCTTCTGGTTATATTACGAGTACACCAGCATTATTTGGCGTCCACGATTATAAAAAAAAAAAAATATTATATCTATTTTTAACATATTAATTGTTAATATCTCAAGATTTAAATCGACGGACACACGATGAGATCTTGAAATTAGTTAATTCTACAATTAAAATAGGAGACAGTTCCTTTGCATTCTTTTTACCTTCGCTGGAGGGTGAGATTGTGACGGACGAGGTCTGCGAGCCCTCGCCGACCGAGGTGACCGCCGCGACGGTGAATTCGTACTGGCTTCTTTTGTGTAGATCCTCGGCTTGATAGCTGGTCTGATACGGCGGTAGGGTCCTCCTATGCCACTTGCTTTCCGGTCCCAATCCTCGAATATGCACGTTATAAGCAGTAAGATTGCCGTTGCTCTTGAGGGGCGGCTGCCACGAGACGATGATGGCCGTGGCCGAGCTAGCGACGGCTTTGATGCTGGCCGGCGCTTCCGGCAGGTCCTCCTCGGTCACGCAATAAAAGGGCAACGAGGCGACGCCGTCTCCCGCCCTGGTGGACGCCAGGACCTGGACCGAATAGTTCATGTACTTCTCAAGCCCGTGGATCATCACCGTCAGAGCGTTGGTGATCTTCATCTCCGTCGTGATCTTGGTCGACTCCACCAGAACATCTGTGCTCTCCCACATGACCTTGTAACCCTTCAAGATCCCATTCAGACTAGAATCGGGCGGGGTGTCCCACGAGACTTGCAAGGACGTTGACGAGAGCGCGGTGCAACGCACGTCTTGTGGAGGATTACTCGGGACTGAAAAGATTCAAGGTTTCATGAAATATCCACAAAGTGATACTTCGTGCGTTATGGGAAAATCTCTCGTCGAAATTTGGCACATAAATCATCATATAAATTTGTTAAATTTACCAACACTTATAAATTGCTTGCAATAACCTGAGGCTTATGTCGTTTAAAGAGTAATAAATCTTTTTATTTAAAATAAATGAAACATGATATTTTTTTATATACATGTTTTTATCGATTTTAAATAATAACAGCTATATATACAGAATTTTTGCGCGTCCGTAGATTAGTTTTAGTAAAAATTATGACTTTAAACTGGAAATATATTTTCACGATTTCAATAATCTGAGAAATATGAACGATACAACTCATAAAACGTACCGCATTTAAAAGGTCGATGGCATATTCGAGAGCAACGTGTGACTGTATGCATGGAATATTTCAAAAACGTATTTGCAGGGAAAGTAAAAGAGATTCGATGGCATCGCCGAAAGAGAGGGGAAGGAGACGGAGAAGGGAGAGGGGGATCAAAAAATATCGGAGTGCACTTGAAAGTTTCGTCTAGTCCGCGCACGAGGACCCGACGAGGATAGGATTAAAGAAGTTATTCGCGAACGCGGATGCCGCGCATCTGAATTTATTATTTATACCGGAAGTCGCGCGTTGCACGAGGTCGGTATTCATGACTGGAATTCGCGATAGGCTCGCGCGAATATTATTCTATTCATGAATTCTTGAAGATATTCGCGACGCGAAAATAGACGTCTAGACGAAAGGCTCGCTCACTCGAACGTTCGATCCCGAGCTTTTGCTAGTAGATTACATCCGAATATGTTCGTGCTCGAAATATATATCTCCATTCAATTCCCGATAAAATCTATATAGTAGAACGAGATAAAATGCACTTTGATCGCTTCATTATACGGAACAAAATTTAATCTTAACGTGATGTATGAAAAAAATCAATACGATATTAATATCGTTATGTAGATAAAGGGGCGCACATATTTTTAGTATCTACTCTCTGTTTTATTTTCGTAAATGGTTAAGAGATAGATATGAATTGTATTTTTCGCAGTCACTTACCATCTTCGAGTGTCGACGCCACAATTTCCTGCGTCATAGGACCAGGACCGAGGGCGTTGAACGCTTGAACGACGACGCTGTAACGCGTGAACTTCTTCAAGTTCGTCAAGTGATGCTGTCGTCCGGGCATGGATGTCCTTGCTAAACCGAGGGCGACGCTCGCCGTCGAGATCCGTCTTTCCACAGTTTTGTACGTGTATTGCTCTGCCCCCAACCTGAATTTCGCGAAAGTGTTCGTTACACCTGGCTGATGTGATTAATTAGTTTTGCTTGGAGACTGTCAAGTGTCTCGTTTTAACCCCAAACTTCAGACAAACTTTTGGAGATGAACTTAATATTATATTATAATGCAAAAAAAATGTTAAACTAATATAAATTTATATATCTACGCGACATATACTCATACAAACTTGACAGAAAATAATGAGATGCAAACTTTTAAACTCCACTATAATTTGTTTTTTGGACTATCTGTAATTCTATTTATTTCATCATCTATTTCAACTTTAGACAATCAACAATTAGAAAATAATTAATCGATTCATATGACAACTAGTTTGTAATAAATATAGCGAGCTAAAGTGATGTAACAAAATGCAGCCGGTGAAAAAAACTGAAAGCTTTGCGAGGATTTGTCAGCGTTGCCCTGGGCGAATAAATAACTGACCCCGAGATAGCTCGTCGTTTATTAATGGCGCGTGAATTCTACGATATCAGCTCTATGGACGAGATCCAGGAAGTTGTAATTCTGACAGTTGCATGTATGTGTGTATGTATTAGTGAGGAAACACAAACTCCTATCAGTCGTTAAAATAACGGCGCCGTTTTCGGTCGTTACCTATGTTCCTTGTAGCCGACGTGATAACCGAGTATTTCGCCGTTCCATAAATCATGATCGGGCGGATCCCAGGTGACGTTGAACTCGGTCGAGCTGATGGGATCCACTTTGAGATTTCGCGGTGGTCCGCCGGGCTTCTCCCCCTCCGTTGTCGTCTCTAAAATCTATAGAGAAACCATAAAAGTCCTCTAAAAGAACGCGGACAAATCCGCGATATCGTTAATCTTTATCACTTTCACCGCCGTATATATCTGTTTTTTCTTATCGATTTCCATTAAACGTTTCAAACACTCTGATATTTAAGAAAAAAAACCCACACATGAAAGAAGCATCGCGCGGACAATCGATGGATATAAAAGGAATTTGGTCGGATGCGTCCGATATACCGACGTTTTAAAGCGTCGCGTTGTGTCGGAAGTACCGCAACCTGTTTCTTAATCGCGCGAATTCTTCTCCGTGTAAAAAAAGAAAAGCGGATCGATATGCCTGAAGGAGCAATGCGGCGCAATTTAAATCCAGGCCAAGAGGTGACGGACGGAGAAAGGGATTCGTTTCGGGGTGAGAAATAGAGATAGTTGTCTTTTTTTAGTGGGAATATCGATCGAGCTCGGTCACACATCGGTGTCCCAATTGTTTTAATTCTCGGTGTGAGCGACAGGACAAGCCTGAGAGAGGGAAGGTGTCGGCAACGAAACGAGCGTCGACGAATAATGGGATTTGACTAAATGTAAATGTCCGACCTGGCCTACGATACCTACGTCACTCGCTTGACTCCGACCCAATTCGTTGTCCGCGTACATCCGGAACTGATAAGTGACAGCTGGGCGTAGACCGCTCACGTGGCCGCGAGCACGTGTGCCCGGCACCGTCGAATGGAACGTGTGATCATGCCATACCTCTGCAAAATTGCACGTCATCATTTTGCGAAGATTTTATCTCCTGTTTGAGAATCAACGATCGAAAACGTTGATCGCGGATGAAACTGCTGTGATATTTCTGCGCAATCAATGCTTATCAATTCACGCTCTTCATATATGTCAGATTGTTATTACGTTCTAAAATTTAATATTTTACTGTCATTTTTTTAATCAAAAAGTTGTAATTTCTTTAATCAAAATGTTTCAAAATATTTCACTGATTGCATATATTAGATTCTTATTAATTTATTTTGATCTTTACTAATATATAAATTCATCGATTTTTATATAATTACTTGGGTTTATTAATGTTTATCTAATTGCATGATATTACGTCTCATAACTAAAAGATTTTATTAGATATTTTTATTTAAATCAATGATAATATTAATACACTTACCTGACTCAGTTTTATACTCGATGATGTATTGGGTAATCGGACTGTTCCCGTCTTGACTAGTTGTCCAGCCCAGATTGATATGGCGACTGCCTTTCTCGATCACGTGAAGATTCCGTGGAAAATCTGGCGGCTCTACATTTAATATCAATATAATTTTTTAGTCTTTTCACGTTGGCACTAAAACTTTTGCAATATTAAAAAAAAAATTTGTTTTATATACGCTTTTATTATTAATATACATTGGACATTTCCCCTTATCTCTTACATTTTTTCATATATTTTCCAAAAATATACGTTTCGTAATTATTAGCTTTATATTAATAAAAGCTTGATACACTCATACACGTACAGCAAAATTTCAACGTTTAATCTGCGATTTTAAATCACATTAGTCATATCCAATTTCCAGCGTGTGTCCTCTATTTAAAACATTTCACAACGCGAAATTAGAGTTCAGTAATTAGTTGGAAATTTTCGCCTAATTCCGGAACAGCGTCAGAGCGCGCGTCGTGTCCAATAGAATAATTTTCGGTTATGGTACGATTGTCGCGTACCACATTATGCATATTTCACCGGGTTATCCAACGCAATACGTTCGCTCGAAGCGTATATCTCTCATTTTGGAGAACATGTAGGGCGCGCGAGCTGCCGGCTCATATCTCTCTCTCTCTCTCTCTCTCTCTTGCCGCGCATGTACTTGTGCGAATGTACATTAAATTAAATGGACGCGCGTTGTCGAGAGCGTCTGTATACATTACGATAATTACGTCCAGCGGAATAGCGTTACGCACAAACATCCGATGCCCCGAAGGTATCATCGCGATAGTACGCTCGGCGATAATTTCATATTCTCTAGTAATAATCTGCCCAACAATGCGCAAACAATTATTAACATCGCATTACAACAATGTAAATTTATTATAATCATTATTATTTTCATTATCATTTCGCGCAGATATTGTTAACTTTCTTTCTGTCAACTTGCTGTTACATTTTCACGATTCGACGCCGACGATTCTCTTTGTTAGAGGACACACATCTTCTCCATCGGAATTTATCAGTTGTTTACATACCTTGGATATAAAGATGAATCGTCATCTCGTCGCGGCCGTAAGTGTTGGACGCGATACAAAAGTACCTTCCGCTATCCTCGCGGCTGGTACTGATGAAGCCAAGAACGCTGGCGACCCCGTCGGTGGTATTGTCTTCTTTCAGGGTGTAACGATAGTCGGGGAGCTTTGGATCCAACTGGGAACTGGCCTTCTTCCAGGCTATCTTCAAAGGGTGGTCGCCCTTTGCCTCGCAGCGTAACGAGGCGTTCGAGCCTAGTCTCGCGGTCTGATTGCGATGCTTTTCCACAAAATGCGCGGGAACTGCGCAATTAAAGAATGATACATGTGTGCAATAAATGTAAAAACTTATATTCTATTATCTTAGAATGGTTCAAGATAACCGAGCAAAATTCTACTCTATGATAAAATCGAATTTTTCTCATAGAAGTGCTAGTGGAAAAGAACGGATTTGGTCAGACCGACGAATAATTTAAAAGAGGAAATAATAGAGATGTAAATATTTATTATATTAAAAATTATATTATAAATCAATATCATACAACTAAAATTTAGATAAAAATTGAAACTTTAGAATGTGTAATTAAAAGATAATAAGAGAGATTAAAAAAATTTACACAAATCTTAATTTTATCATATTATCCCCTAAAATAAAAGTTTTATTAAACGACTTTCACGTTAATGTTTATTCTGAAAACCAAGAGAGATCTGCCTTCTGCAGAGTGACTGTTCGAGCAATTTGATTATTTCGTGAGAAAATATTTTCCCATTGCCTTAGAAGGATAAAGCTCTAATTGACTACATGGATCAATTGTCACATTGTTGATAATACGTGGAACATCTTCGAGATCCAATTAGGGTTAATCGTCAATTAGTAGAGGAGAGACTAGTTCTTCTGAAAGTAATTTTCAAGAGAAAGAGAAGCGTATTTTTCTCTCGCAAAGCTTTAGTTAGCGCAAATATATTGAGATATTTTTTGCAACTGCAAATGGCAACTGGGAGAAAATGCTTTGGTTGTAAAAAATGACATTTTACGTTATTAAATCTTCTTCTGACAATTACTAAACCATAAAAAGGATATTGTGCAGCGTTAAAAGAAAGACCATCGAATAACCGTACCTTTTGTACTCTCGCTGTTATAATGAAGAAACGAGATTTCGCGCTTAGGGGGTCTTCTCTAGAAACTACTTAAAAAAAATCGTACCATTGACGGTGAGGTAAACGACCTTGCTGAGCCCGGCTCCGATGCCGTTCACCGCCTCGCACAGATAAAAGCCCTCGTGATCCTCTTGCACCCGGCCGAACACCAGCGAGCCGTTCGAGTGTATCCTCAAGTCCTGCATGTGCTCGTGGCTGGCTATGTCGTGATAATCCCCTGGTTTTCTGCCGCTACTTCGCCGCCACGTGACCAGCGGTGGCGGGAACCCGTCAGCGTGGCAATGCAGGCTCAATCGGGGCATCCCCTCCGATGCGCGGGCGTCCTGCGGCTCCACCACCCAGCGTGGCGGTACTGATCCATAATTGCGCGATTATTAATCGATTGTATCGTGAATTATTCCCGGATAGCCAGCGGCTACTGCGACAACGCGACCCGGAAGCGATCGTTCTGTTTGCTCTCCGAAATCGTATCCCTTCATGTACATTTGAGGTAAATTTTGGATTAAAAAGGATTTTAATCTTCTCACCCTTCTCAGCTAAGAATGATTATATTATTTAAAAAAATAAGATTGTTTTTAATGATATTTTTGCCGAGGAAAAAAGTTAACTCTCGGAATAAATTTCGATCGATTAATTGAGAGCGACTATTAGCCTCTCAATCGTAATGCGATATCGCGTCTAGCTAGGATACAGGATTCGCCGAGAATGGAGACTTCCGAATATCGTCGCGCGACATTTCTTTGCTTTAAGCTTATTGTGCCGAGGCAAGAGCGAAAAGTTCCTGGGGAGAGGATTGGCCTACTGTAACTTCCTACTTTAGCTGCCGTGAAAGTAAAGAGAAATAGGATTTGAAAATGCGCATGGGATAGAAAGAGAGAGAGAAAGAGAGAGAAAGCCTGCAGTGTCCTCTCGGGATTGCGGATAAACGGGATGAAACTTTTGCTGATAAAAATTACGGACTGTCCACTATTTGCCTCCTTTTTTGGTCTTTCTCTCTCTTTCGTTCTTTCCCTGCCTCGCGCATATCGAGACGGGGGGGAAGAGAACGGATGGAGGAGAAACGAAGAGAAAGATAGATAGGTAGGTTTGGAAAATAAAGGGAGAAAAACGTGTGCCAAACGTGTGCGCTGGATAAAGGATTTTTCCATTGGGCACAAATCATAAAATAATATCGATGATTAACACCGCGATAACCACAGAGAACAGAGCGGTACAAGTGATACGATAAATCGGTGCTGTGCAAATCCAATAGAGCGTATATGAATGTGCACGATCAATTGTTGCGTACAAATATACACACAAAGTGCACGAAATACGCGTCCCGTCTGAACCGAACGTTTGCGCACCGAATTTTATTATATATATATATATATGCACCCTCATTTATATAATGCAGCGTGTATTTATGCGCTCGCAAGCAAATTATTCGTTCGATTGTAATTAATAATTGAAGGGTTGAGAGGGTGAAGGATATTACGCTCTGTATCATATCGTGAGAATTACATGGAAAAATTTGTAATTTTCCATTTCGACAATTTCGTGGATAATTTATATGCGATCTCAAACAAAATCACAGTAAAATTATGACGATATAAAGATATGTATGATGAATAAAGATACATGTTTACACAAAGACGATTATCATCACAAAATTTATTTTAGTCGATAAAGCGACAGTTTAAAGAGACACTAGGTTTTTTTTATCATAAAATTACACTTTCGATAATTCTCTCTTTTCCTCTAGAGAGCAATCGACCTTCTTTCTTGTTAATTTGAATATTTTGACTCTGATATCTAAACTGATTGGCTATCGATCTCAATTCAATAAAAATGTAACGTCCCTCAATTCCCTCCTAGCCCTCATTGCTGTAACTTCCTACTTTAGCTGCCGTGAAAGTAAAGAGAAATAGGATTTGAAAATGCGCATGGGATAGAAAGAGAGAGAGAAAGAGAGAGAAAGCCTGCAGTGTCCTCTCGGGATTGCGGATAAACGGGATGAAACTTTTGCTGATAAAAATTACGGACTGTCCACTATTTGCCTCCTTTTTTGGTCTTTCTCTCTCTTTCGTTCTTTCCCTGCCTCGCGCATATCGAGACGGGGGGGAAGAGAACGGATGGAGGAAAAACGAAGAGAAAGATAGATAGGTAGGAAAATAAAGGGAGAAAAACGTGTGCCAAATGTGTGCGCTGGATAAAGGATTTTTCCATTGGGCACAAATCATAAAATAATATCGATGATTAACACCGCGATAACCACAGAGAACAGAGCGGTACAAGTGATACGATAAATCGGTGCTGTGCAAATCCAATAGAGCGTATATGAATGTGCACGATCAATTGTTGCGTACAAATATACACACAAAGTGCACGAAATACGCGTCCCGTCTGAACCGAACGTTTGCGCACCGAATTTTATTATATATATATATATATGCACCCTCATTTATATAATGCAGCGTGTATTTATGCGCTCGCAAGCAAATTATTCGTTCGATTGTAATTAATAATTGAAGGGTTGAGAGGGTGAAGGATATTACGCTCTGTATCATATCGTGAGAATTACATGGAAAAATTTGTAATTTTCCATTTCGACAATTTCGTGGATAATTTATATGCGATCTCAAACAAAATCACAGTAAAATTATGACGATATAAAGATATGTATGATGAATAAAGATACATGTTTACACAAAGACGATTATCATCACAAAATTTATTTTAGTCGATAAAGCGACAGTTTAAAGAGACACTAGGTTTTTTTTATCATAAAATTACACTTTCGATAATTCTCTCTTTTCCTCTAGAGAGCAATCGACCTTCTTTCTTGTTAATTTGAATATTTTGACTCTGATATCTAAACTGATTGGCTATCGATCTCAATTCAATAAAAATGTAACGTCCCTCAATTCCCTCCTAGCCCTCATTGCTGTAACGATTTCGCATCAGAAACCAATTCTTTCGGCGAACGTGCAGATCAAACGGGACCGATTCGTCTCGATGGGTTAGATAGGTGGCATACGAATTTTCGATGACGCGGGGAGAAAGGAAAGAGGACGGAGAGAAGAAACTGGTACAGAAACGGGCGTTGCATCGGTGAAATCGGTATGTGCCAAGGGATTAGGGACGCCCAAGATTAAATAAGAGAGAAAAATAATTTGTGAAAAACGTGTCAGTGCAGATATGCGTGTGCTGGGTGAAATGAACGTGACTCGGTGCTATAAAATTGAACTACGAGATTGCTGCTGTTGCTGCTGCTGCTGCTGGCTCGTCTAACTCGCTGTGGCTCATACATAAGACGGTATGGTGCTATATATATATAATATATGAAATCGAATTTTGTGAAGAGTGCCTGTATATTGGCCCTCGCATGCAGTACATTTTTCATTCTAGGCTACTGCGATCGTCTTGAATGCGACAAACGCGCAGTCCTCACATCAAAATTATATTTCTTGTTCTATATATATTTTTTATATATCTTTTTTTTACACACATCATTGTGTCTCTTTTCCAGCACAATGATTATCCAACATGTCAATCAATACGTTTAAGATGTAAATTAATAAGACTTTTTCTCTTATATTATTATTCAACAATAAAGCATTAAAAGAAAGATGTATTATAATTCTTCGCCAACGCTCTCTTTCGTAATCAAAGGGTTGGGTACCGCGTTTGCGTTTGACACTCGCTAAATTAATGCGAGAGAGTATGCGATCGCAGTACTTAATTATCGCGATAAGGGGTAGAGAGAGGTGCGAGTTGGAACGCGACTGTGCGCGAGTGTGTTGGATACATATCTAGATAGAAAATACGATATATGTGCGGTGAGAGACCGCGTGAGGGGGTGAAACAACGTTATATTATGCTGTGCTCAAGTGCGTTGGTGCGACGGGGGTTGCTGGCTGGGCGGCTGCTGCTGCTGCTGCTGCGTCATTTCGCGTGTATCGTCTCGGAAAAAAGGACTCTAGAGCTGCGTTTATCCGGACGATGCCGTCGCCCGTTTATCCGGAATGGCGAATTGTCCTCTCGCGTATCTCGTGAATATCCGACTAAAGCGTAACACGTTTCCAGAAAAATTCCGCACGCGACTCTTCTCCCGTTTTTTTTAATGAACAAATTTTTCGCGTAGAAAAGTCATTTTTGTTTCGATTCTTTTGTGAAAAATTCAACTTTTATCTCAAAGAATACTGATATATGAGATGAAAAAAAAATGTTGCATTTGTCAGTGAAATAATCTCAATCCTAAAAAATTTCAAACGCGATACGTGGACTGTATAAGAGAATATTACCCAGAAGACAGATCTGTTAGATATCGAAAGTGTTGTTCAAAAGGCTTTAAATAGAAATTGAAATTTATATCAAATTCTATGACTGCTAATATATAGAGAAGATAGATACTAAGAAAACTTAAATAAGAATAATACGACAAGTGAGATGTCATTGATAAAATTAAATAATTATTAAAAAATAATAATAAGCGATGCAATTTATTCCATTTAAAGACTTTTAAATCGGACACTTCTCATATCTCTCAAATTTCCTCTTAGACATTCTATTATCTTTCGGTTAATTACACAACCGCGGGCTTATCACGTATATCAAATAATCGGCAAAACGGAATCGATAGAGGAATCTGCGAGAGATTTTTGCTATCAATATCAGTTCCCTTGTTAACAACACATGCACGCGTATGGTAGTCCCGTTTAACGGCATATGTGCCATAATTCACGGGGGGGGACGGATATTACTTTCGCGCACACAAAACTAGTCCCGTCGCGTTCGAATTCCGAGCGCGCGCGAATGCAGTCGATATTCTTCGTCGATATCCGGATATCCGGATGTTGCTGCAAAATCCGTGCGCGCAGCCCTAGTGTGACTCCCCGGCATCATGCTATTTTTTGACGGACGGCTGCGGTGGCTGCTGCTGCTGCGGCTGCGGCTGCGCTTACGTGACAACGATACGGCGACCACGGGTGAATGGAATCGGAGGGTGACTCGGCATTTTAAATTACGAACTTGTACTATCATTCGCGATTTTTATTTCGCAAAGTTCCCCCGTGGCTTGATCGCCAGGGAATTTAATTTCGCACTCTACTATTGTAATTTATCTATGAATCGCGCATTCTCTCTTTCACAATTTAAAGATTGACAGTATAAGTGACAGTTATAGTTAGATATCGCAAAATAAAGTTTATAAAGCATTTTAAGATTATAAAGATTAATTAAGATCAAGCGAACATTTATTACTTCTTGATATTTCTCTTGAAAATTTTTAGTTTCCGAGATATTTCATTTTAAATCAAAATAGTATAGTTATGTTAAATAAAAATTCTACATCCCCATATGTACATTCGTATGAAAATAACTTGAATTTTAAATCACACTTTATATATGCGAATAATAAAATAAATTTTCAACTTGATTTATATATAAGTGACTCTTTTTATTATCTTTCTTTCTCTAAACAAAGACTAAAAAGATTCTATTCAGATCGCAATCATCTTCACCCTCCAGACTCGTTCACCCGTCATCGCTACATCATCGTGAATACAATAGTGCGCTGCCAGGTGCAAGACAGTGATGTGCGAGAGAGAGAGAGAGAGAAAAAGAAAAAAACACACAGACTCGGTGCGTTTTTGCCGCGATGCGGCACAGCTAGTGCGATTACAGCTCTCTTTACTTTACCACGAACGATCAACTCGGCCGTCCAGAGGACCTCGGCCACCGAATTGCGCGCCAGGCAAGTATAGTTGCCGGTGTGAGCGGCGGTGACGCGCTCAATAACTATGGCGGTGGAATGAGCGTCAATGTTGGTTACGCGCAGCCCAGGGGGTGTCTGCGGGTGGTGTCGGGGATCGTTTACGACGGCGACGGCGGCCGCCGTGCCGGGGGTGAAAATCGGCTCGCCGTCCTTCGACCAGATGATCGTGAACGGCGGATCGCCCTTCTCGACCATGCAGGTCACCTGGGCCCGCAGGCCCTCCGACAGGTCCTTCTTAAAGCTAAAGGGAGCTATGGTGGGCGGAACTGCACAAAAAAAGAGAGAGAAAACATGGTGACTGTGAGTGTGAATGGTATGATGTCTGTGTACACGTGCGTGGACTTGTAGATGGTCTTCTTCGCTGTTGATCGAACGCGCCTTCTTCCCTGGACGTTCCTGGACCTTTTTTTTATGCTTGACGCGTATCGCGGATCGGTTAGAATCGCGAGAAATAAGTAATTAGTCCTGATTCGACATCGTTCCGGAGGACGAAACTTATCCGCCGTTGTTTACCGAAACGCGGTTAGTCCGGAGGAACAAGGGCTAAATTGTTGAGTTAATAATTTGACCGGCGAGTTTCGCGGGTCGGTTTACAACGGCAGATCCGTGGTCGAGGTCTGAGAAAAGTCTTTGAACGCGGACTTCCAACGCACAGACTCCTAGACACATCTTTCTCGTCTCGCTAGAATTGATGGAATAAAATGTGAGGAACATTATGAGATTGACGTTGATCAATTAGCTGTGAAAGTGTGAGAGAGAATGATTTAATTTATCATGCGATGCTGTGTTATATTTGTTATTGTGGTTGTGCGTGAGTGTGTCTGTACTGAAACAAACAGAGAAAAATAATGTTGAATTAAAAATAGACAAAATTAAAATAACGCAGCGAGAAATGTCATTGCATTAATGTTGACATTAAATAATATGCATTATCTAACAAACGCACGTTTCAGATTTCTTCTTCAATCATTTAACCCACGAAAATTTTCCAATTAGCAACTAGCCATTGTTTATCATTACCGCTTAACTAAAAGCCATTTACGCGAATCGAGAACAATTCGCGACATCTTCCTGCATCACTGACGATGAACGGGTTTATGGCTCCGCGCGATAGCATCGCGAGTTATACATTTCCGACGTTCGCGGAGAGCGCGTCCCTCGGGTGTTTCGACGCTCGTCGTGTATATTTCGCAAAATATGCAGCGGCGAAAACAATCAAGCAGAAGCACGAGAGAACGAGGGAGAAAAGATCCCCTCTTCGTTCCCGGTCGTCGACTTTTCGATGGGAATACCGCTCGTCGCGACGAGCGTAATGCCGCGGAACAACAATAATAACTTGCCTCGTTGTGCACCTCGTGCGATACCGATGTATACACGGGATACAACCCGGAGAACGCCCAGAGCCCCCGGGGGTATTAGAATAGAACGCGACGGTTGTTTGAGAATAATTGAGAAACCGCGCGCGCGGGTAAAGGCGACTAGATAGCGGCAACGTAACGTGAGTAATGCCCAAAGAGGTCCATCGTATGTATGCATGTATACTCGGGGATACATATACGTACGTATAAACGTTTGTATATACACGTATAAAAGCGAGGAGGAGAAGGAGGACAGAGAGGGGGAGAGAGAAGAGAGGATGGGTTCTCGGGGAGGCAACAAAGAAGCTCTTGCGGGAGACACATTGCGTTGATAAATTTGCGTCGCATAGTTTCGAAGCAAGTAGAGCGCGAATTCCCGGCGAAGATAATTTGGCGGTCGACGGTCCCCTTAATTGGCGTCTCCCCCGACGTTATCGATAGCGAGCGCGTGACGTTAATCCGCGCGAATGCGTCTAGAGATAAAAAAAAATTTTTTTTATCTGCGACCAAAAAAAAAAAATAATTTTTTCCAGGTTTAAAAAATATCTTTAAAGATATACTGAAGAGATAAATTGCATCGTTTTCATTTTCTAGACTTTTTAATTTCCGCGTAATTCGCGAGAGCGGGGAAGATAAATAGAGTCGCTTCCCCCAAAGAGAAACTAATTTCTGACAGCACGGATTACTATTCGTGGATTAATTTTATTCCACGTACACGACGACACACGGAATAAATAAACACGCGCGTAGTAGGCGTATACACAAAGAGGAACAATCTGTTCCCTCCTGTTTGTTCTTTGCTCGTCGACGAAATGCGGAAATCGCCCTTGGGCGACTCGTTCGCTCGTCGTCGTCGACGACGAGAGCTCCGTTTCGCTCGTCGAAAGAACAGGCGCTTTTAATACACGCGCCATCCTCGATGGGGGAGAGATGTAAACTCTCGGGGGCATCGCATAATACGCGCATCGACGGTTACGGACGTGTGGAGGCCACCCTTCTGTACTCTTTAGCCTTTGAGTGATAAATATCTCGCCTCTATCGGGGAGTACTCCTTGTATAATAGAAGTCGGGAACGTGGTTTGATATGTAATCACGAAAGATCTCGACCGCGTAATTTCTTCGACGAGGTTTTTCACTCTTCCCTTTTCATCGCGCTTTTAAATCACTCGATGGAATCTCGTCGTTTTACATGGACGATGTGAAAAAAAAAAAAAAAAAAAAATGGTCAGATCATTTCAACGTCGATGGAAATTCGCGCGCGACGATATCAAACTTTTTACCCTTCCTATATCGACGGTTATTATTCCATCGTGGATTGATCTTTTGCTTCGCCCGCGAGATTCGCGCGCTGAAGTGGGTGGTTCGAGAGTCGCACGCGTCGATTAATAGCGACCATCGTAATTCTTTTTTCCCCCCCTCCATTTCTCTCCCGATCGCCGGTACTCGTCGTGGCGCAACGAAAACGCGGGTAACCGCCATGTACGATTGGAAGAGAGCTTTTAGCGGAATCACAATCGCGAGTCGAGGAAATAAAAATGGCTATTCGAATATGGAGATTGATTCGAAAAATCAGGAAAAATTCTCTCGAAGCGAGAACCTCAGGATTCGAGGATCTACAGAGAGTGACGAGATTAAAAAATATATAGTGGGATATTATTCCACGTTAGATACGAGAATCGAGCCACAGAAGTACATGTATAACGAAGGAGAAAAAAGATCATCATTTTTCCGGCGAGATAAAAAAAAAAAAAGAAAAAAAAAAATCACGATTTGAAATGATTTTCGGATAGTGTTTTCTCTTTGAAAGCGGGAGCAGGGGAGAAGGGGGGGGGGAGAGAGAATCAAGGCGGAGAGTTTCCGGCATTCGACGGATAGGCTGCGGCCGTTGCGTACCATGGACCAGGAGGGATGCTGTGCGGGATGTCTTGGCGGCGTCGTTGCTCGCCACGCAAGTATAGTTGCCGTTATGCGTGGTCGACGCGCTCTGTATCCTCAATGCGAGATCGAACTCGCCGATCTGATGCGTAGCGGCCTCCCTCGGCTTCAACGGCCTGCCGTCCTTCAGCCAGGTGATCTTCAGGGGCGAGTCGCCTTCGCTGACCACGCAGGTCACGTGGACCCGCGCGCCCGCCTGGATATTGTCGGGAAAGCTAAACGGATCGATTTTAGGTGGTACTGCAAATTACAAGAGAGCACGAGGGTTTATTTCTCACATCGCGATGATATGCATCGTGGACGTCGTCATCGTCGTCATCCTTCGTTGTTGCACCGGAAGGAGTCGAGTCGAGAGGAGACAGAGCCGGAGAGAGCGCTTTTTAAATATGTCAAAATGAAGGAACGGAGATAATTATTTATATAATATTTCTAATATTGTATATTCAATTGTTAGTCATCTCCAAGTCATGGAATAGCTAGTCATTGGTTTTTCCAGTTCTTCCTCTCTCTCTCTCTCTCTCTCTCTTTAACTGCTTATTTTGTTTCTAGTGTTTTAAAATTATTTTCTCTCAAAAATCTTGCGGAGAATAATGCAAAATTATTGCATGTTTTCTTTAAACGAAATAACTCTGTAGCAGTTTAACAGAATATTCGATATACGCTTTTCTTTCTCTCTCTCTCCCTCTCTCTCTCCATATATACTCGACTTTTGCGATCCAATATCCTCTCGACTCAAAAAATTTGGGTTGGGAGTATATGAAGAGTTTCAAGTTTGCGGAATTTAATTTTCTCAGTAACCGTCGCAAACACATTTTACATATCCTACCTGCGTGCTTTGCTCGACAGTGATCGCAGCACAAAAATCATGATCATCTGAAATTGTCATTAATCCAAGAGAGCAGTGTTCAAGATATTATATTATTAAAGTTGTATTATCTATTCCGTTAAATACACTGTATGCTAAAAAAACTATTATTAAAAATATTTAAGCATTATGTTACATTATTTAATGGTACGACAGTGTCCCTAATTTTATTGAAACAATAATAAACTGCACATTTAATGCATCATCACAGTAGAAGCAAATCTATTAATTTTGATATCTCTAAATATTTTTATTAATATTTAATCTCTAGGTGTTAAAAAAAATCATTTTATTAATATAATGTATATCTATTGTATAATAAATTAATTAATTGAATAATTGAAGGATTAATGGATTGAAAATTTTAAAATGCTCCTTGCATATAACCATTATTGATGCACTAGAATGGCAATAAATTTATACCTTATACACATCGAGAATAAACGTATGGAAGCCCTTGCGAAATAATTTATCACCCGAAATATCCCGTTACGTGAGAGAGAAGACTTACGTAGCCAAACGTAGAGCGCCTTTTGCGGTAGAAATGAAGCGACTGGGATTTCTTTTTAAATCATAGAGAAAGTTCGTTGCACACACATACACATGTCCCGTCGTATATGCGAGATAGAGGAGTCTTCGCTCCGTTCGATCTTCAGAAATAAAATGTGTACTTGTAGTTCTTCCTTTTACCCCTTTTCTGCATTATATACACGAGACTGTATGCATACTATATGCGAAAGAAGCGCTACAAATTTTTCTACGACGATTCTCTCTCTCCGCGATGTGACGTATATCGAGAGGAAAATTGTCGTGCTTCAATACGCGAGATAAAAATTCACGATTCGATAAAACGTTCGCGCAATTCTGCGCGCACGGCTATCAATTTAAAATTCCTTCACGAAGAAAGACGAATCGGACATTTGCTTGATATATGCGAATTTTTTTATCGACCACTTGCTACATCTAAGCTCGTGTTATAACTCATATTTTGAATGACGTATATAATTTTTACAATATATATAATAGTAGAGTGTTCTAAAACAAATGCCCTTTCGATAATAGATTCTTTGGCTAACTTGGAGACGATTTTTTCCTCGACAAAAATGTCGAGGGAGATCATCATTTTTTGCAAGTTCTCAATTTTTGCCATCATATATCTCTGTAATTAAGTCTTAAACTAAAAATCTATTAAGTAAACTCCATCTGAAATTAACTAAAGAATGTAGTTTTTGTTTCTTTTAACTCTCTCTCTCTCTCTCTCTTTATAAAGTTTAGTTTGCAAAAAGCCCTTCGTTTTTTTAATCGTTTATAACTCGGAAATTATTGATACTTCGACGTTTTTGCTGAGGAAAATGTTTTCAAATTGGTCAGAGAATCTGTTATTAAAACACATCCGGTGTGATTTTTTAATATACCCTATTATTTATTATATATATTTTATTACTTATTTTTTTTTCTTTAAATTCTTTAAACCCGATTTTCACGTGCAGCAAATCCGCAAACGACGTGGACGCGCGGTGCGATTTCTTCCGATAAATCGACTTCATCATCGAAAGCACTTCGTCGCGATTACTGGCTACGACGGTCGACTTCGCGGATGGCCTCGAGGGGAACCGCGGAAAATCCCGATAAAGCGGATCACTATTATTGTCGAACGACGAACTCTCTTGCGGGACACTGTTGTTCCAATTTAAACGGACAAAATCTCCGCATTAAAAGAAACGGAGAAAAATAAGAAACAGAGTGCATATACACCCGAGTGAACGAGAGACTTTACCTTTTACTTCGATGTGAATGGTCTGCGAATCGGAGCGACCTTGCTTGTTCTTCGCGGTGCATGTGTACGCACCGCGATCGGTGCTGCTGTCAACCCGATGCAGCACCAGAGTACCGTTTGTGGACACATCCTGACGACGGCTGGTCGGTAATATTTGACCATCTGCGAGGCAAAGGCGTTTTATATAATACATATAATAACTCTCCATTCGAATAAAAAAAAAGTGGTACATTTATAAGAAAGTTGGATTTATATAATAATTTGTAAATTAATATCGTAACATTTTAAATAAATAAAATAATAATACGTCGAGTTACTATTTCGTGCATTCTACCTGCTTCTATTGGCCAAATATGTTTCTATTTGAACGGCACTCTTTTATCGTCAAGTATAATCACGGGAATATCCTTATTCATCGGCCCAAGTACGAGTTTTAATCGAAAGTGGAAAATCGCGGTCCACGAAGGTGCGATATTTGAGTTTAAATTATGCATTTGCTTTTCATTGCTCGCCACGCAATCCGCGCGACCGTAGCATTGTGGAAATGCGGTTTTCCACTGAGTTCGCACCGCATTGGCGATGTTACGGATGGCGATGCAGTCGAGTGTTCAATATGCTTTCATAGCCGGGGTGACCGACTTTGAAATTGTTATCGAACAGAAGTCACTTTGATGCGCAATATATATTTTAGAAGAGAAGCGGCTAAAGACACGAATAGTATCGTACAATGCTTTATAACATTAAATAAACATGCATGTTGTACACAATCATATTTAAATGTAATACAAAATACAACAATATATATGAACATATACATAACAAATGAAATCATAAGAATATACAAAATATGTGCATACATGAATCGAGAATACTTTTTATAGAAATATTGATGTTTGTAGAATAGAGGGTTCTTTCCACAGAACATTTATTGTACAAAACATATAAAATGTTTACACATACAGGATATTTATAACATGTATAAAAATAATATACAATAGACAATTAAATGCGCGCATTATAAACATGCAGAATATAAAACAAAGCATTAATTATAAAAACAGAAATATCGTAAAATCTTTGAAACATAGATAAACCCTTCCGCCAGATATTTTCCGTAGATCCTTAAAAAGCACCGCGCTTATAACGCTTAATGGACCAAATGGCCGTGGATGGTTTCGCGCGGTCGTCGTCGTCGTCGTCGACGGAAGTTGGGGTGGAAAGTTGGCGCAACGATCGTTTGAAAGTTTCCCGAAGTCGAGTTCATCATGACGAGAAGGAGAGCTCGAAGTTCGCCGCTTCGGGACGACTCGCGACCTCGATCGAAATAAAAAGGTTTTCCACCCTCTTCTCGGGATTACACGCCCACCCGAGGGACGCGGAAGGGGCTTCCCCCTAAAGATCTCCCTAAAGGCAGACGTGGAGGAAATTTCCCGGCGAAGCGCGACCTTCCCGCCGAAGTCGAAGACGCGGCCGTTAACTTCTTTACGCATCTTCTCTGCAGCATCTCGAGTATTTTAATCTCCCGCGAGCGTTTAATTCCATCACCCCAGGCAAATAAAAGACGCGCCGCGTAAAGGTCGGAGGACTTCATTAAAGCGGGAAAAGAGCGATGCGGTTTCGTTCGCGGTTCGCTCGATGAAACCGAGTACGCCGAGAGGCAGATCAATAATCGGCGTACATATATATATATATATATATATATATATATAATATATTATATTTTGGAAAATAATACTATATACATCTCCAGAGATTTTGCGATCGTTTTAACCGAGATGCGACACAATGCGACTTTTGTCGAATCGCATCACAATACTTTACAGGAAATATGACACAAATGTAACATATAAAATACACAAGTGTATCTCTCTCTCTCTCTCTACTATTAAAATAAGAGATCTTCCACTTGACGTCGAAAGACGGTTTTTAATATCGAAAGAATAACTGAATAATTCAATTTCACGATAAAGGCGAAAGTTCGCGAAAAACCCAAGATCCCCAAGTATCGGGAACTAAAAGCGAGTAATAAAATAGTAAAGCAAAGATCCTGTCAATGAAAGAATCGTATTGCGAAAAATCTCATCTTCTTCGATCCAGTGGTTTTCAATTCGCGGTCCACATCTCTCTTTCCTTTATTAGAAATATATGTGAAAATATATCTTTTGACAATATTGTCATCTTTTTCGTTCTCGCCACAAATTGAAACGATCAAACGAATTGAAATTGTGTTCGCAAACATTTTATATTATTCCCCCCCAGGTGCAATATAACTTCATTGTATTCTAATAATTATTATTTAGTATTTTAATAATATTTTAATAATAATAGACTGCAACGAGACCTCCATTAATTCATTCGATTTAGCATGCAATTATTAAGAAAAAAAAAGGAAAAAACATACAAGAGAATTTTTTTAAGAAAATAAGTCGAATGTGTGTGGAAAACCACTGATTGATGCGACAGCGAATTCTGCGAACCTTTCTCCCAGGTAATACTGGCGATCGGGAAGCCCGCGACGGGACACTTGATGACGGTCGTCTCGCCGGCCACGGCGGCGTAGTTTCCCATCGGTCGCACATGAGGCAGCCCATAAATATTGAGCCGGGCTGCGTGATGCACCTTCGCGACGCGATTCACCGCCGAGCACCTGTACTCGCCGCCGTCCTCCACCCGCACCGCGCTTATGTTCACATGGGATATCACGTCGCCGTGCACCGTCACGTACTGGCCTATCATGAATCTGCAAGCAAATCACCGCTGTTTTACTAATCTACCTATATCCTATCCGCCCGCTACATATACGGCGATCCTTCGTCGACGGGAGAATTATTGAAAATTTTTTTGCTGAACCTCGCGAAGCGTAAATCAATATTGTCGACGAGAGAATCTTTTATCGTTCATCAATGTTACATATCTGCGAGAAACTTGGAGCGATAAATTTTTGCAAAATTCTCTCGTCGCAATATAGAATTGTGTCATATATTTGAAATTCAATGTACGTTAGTATCTATCATTTTCAAAAATAAATAATTTCGTACATTTATCGATATTTAAGTAAAGTATTAAAGATGTATCAAACTTAAATTAATATTTATTACAGATCTTCACATTTGACACATAGTTTTGTTTAAGAGACTCTATCGAAAAATTTATTTCTTATAATAGACGGTTTCATTTTTCGCAAGGAGATACTTCCCTCTCAGAACGATCTCCCTTTTTCAACGAGATTATTCTTACCGCGACTCGCTTGCGGCGATAATCATCGGGATCGCGGAATTATCGACCGTCTGCTCGACTTATGCGAGCGCCCGTTAAATCCATCGCTCTTCGGAATTTGGTCGGCTTTTAAAAACGTCCAGACTGAACAACGTGATTGGTAATTTTCCTCTCAATTGGTTCAGAGAATCGAAGCCCGCGGGGGCCTATCGAGAGGCACTCCCACGAGATCCGCCGGATGGAAAACCCGCGCTTCCACACCGATTTCCCACGACGATCTCGCGTGTAATACCCTAAGGTTAATAACCGCGAATAATCTCTCCGTGTACATCGCTCATCGATTTTTGGTGCCATAAACTTTCCGTTTGACGGAAGAATGAGAGAGAAAAAACGGTTATAGCAGATTGGGGATTCTATCACGCCCGCTCTTTATCCATCGTTCGAGAAGAGAGGAGAGACTCTTGCAAGGCAAACTACTCGTCCTACCTATCGTTTTGTGGAAGAGGAAACCCATCCAGTGTCCAGGAGAAATGCGGCGTGGGGTTGCCCATCGCGATACACTTGAGCGACACCGAGGGACCCGGCTGCATCGTCTGCTCGATAAACTTGTATAGAAGTTGAGGCGCTGCATCTACAGACAACGATAGAAATTCAGACTTATTAAAGAGGATCATGATTTCAAAATTATTTTCATTTTCTTTTATTATTATCATTTTAAAAGAGGAAAATATAAACAAAATTGTAATGCAAAAAAAATTTTACGGGTGAGTGTTTCAGGAAATTTAATTAAAATTTGCATCAAAAATTAAATCACATAATTAAATTTCTCTTTGCTTTAATTGAATAAACATAGATAGAAAAATTCTGTTATAATTAGAAGCGATTTTGATATAAAGCTAGTGAGATTTGCTTGCTTCTATTTAATCGCGTATAATGTGAAAATAAAAATTTTTTAAATATATTCTCTTATTCTTATGTTTACTTGGCAAACAAATTACAAAAATTGTTTTACGTGTTTTCCTTCCATTTGTACACATGCTTTATTATACACCTACGTATCACAGAAATGCAAATTTTTTCAATTCCATCAGAATTTCTTTTCAGTTGACAGACGCATTTTGTATTCGCTGATGTAAAACATGTGTATAAATGGAAGGAGGACATTTTTTGTAAACATCAAAATGAGAATGTGTAATGTTGTATGATGAGTATGTGTAATGCTTTGTTTTCACATCGTACGCGACAAAATAGAAGCAAACAAATTATTTGCTTCAGAATTGAAAAATGCTTATTTTCATGGATTGTATCATCGCCAGGATATCCCATTTTAAAGTTGGTATTTAATTACACATCTGGTTGTATCAATTTATACATATTAATGAAATTTTTGGAAGATATTCGTCAAAAATCTGCGACGGTAATAAAAGAGGAATTGTGACTTTACGTAAAAAAATATTTATTTACTTTTATACACTAAATAGCATTACCACATGCGAATCGCATTGGCACGCGACTTGAGGCAGCTGCAGGAATTTCGAAATTGCGGCGTGTGCTTCGTATAGTGTAGTCTAAATCCACCCTGTATATACTCACGCAACAGTGAGAATATTCACGGGAAATCTCCGTGCGATAGTCGGGATTTTCCTCAAATTGTGCCGTCAGAGAGAGAGAGAGAGAGAGAGAAAGAAAGAATTTCTCAGACTGCTACTGTATAAACAAGCTTGTGTTTCTAAACAACCGCAATACTGAGGCACGAGGTAACAGAAAAATGTGCAAATGTAAACAAAATATAAATATAATAATTTTGAAAATTAAAATCACCATAATGATACTATTACGGTCAATTTCATATGAAAATTTCATTTCGTTGAAAATCTCTTCCTCAAACATCGAAATAATTCCGGATCAGTTCACAATTTTGCAGATAGCTCTTTATTGAAGCCGAGAACAATTTCCCTGCTGTTTCATTGACATAAGCCTGGCTATTGCGGGGCATTCGAGTTAGGCCTCTACCGGAATGTTGACGTACGTGTCGCCGAGCGTGTATGCACCTGAAATCAGGTGCATTGCGACGCGGATACGCTCCGGAGAGAGCCTGGCCTGGCCGCCTGCGGTGGGCATCGCCGTGGAAATGGCCCTGGGTCGCCGCAAGGCGAGAGGAGGAGAAGGAGGAGGTGGAGGAGCAGGGCAGAGGGTATTATGCACGCAACATTTACATGACAAGCCCCACGGTGCGCGCAGGCGGAACTATCGATCTGCGGTTTGACGCCTGAACTCGAGTGCCGCCCGGTGAATTAACCCCAAATTATAGAGCCGACAATAACCCCGTACAGAAGGTGGAGGGTGGAAGACGGGGGGGAGAGAATGGGGTTGAAGGCGACGTAGACGAGGGGGGGGGGGTAGTTGATTCGGGCCGCGGCACTGTTTGCTCAC